ATTAGGAATGTCTACTTAGGTCCAATGGAGAGAGAAGTGACCCACCTCTTTTTAAATTTTTTTTTAATTGTCAGTTTACCTTTATTTATTTATATGTGATGCTGAGAATTGAACCCAGTGCCTCACACATGCTAGGCAAGTACTCTACCACTGTGATACAACCTCAGCCCTGTATCCACCTCTTGATGGTGGAGTGTCATTTGGTGTCTCCTAAAAAAAGCCCGTGGGATGAATCATAAATTAGCATGGCCATCTGTGGAACATACAACCAGTTATACCTTTCTTCCCTTTTAAATATACACTCAGTTTTCTAGGAATATAATATATATATAATACATATATAAAAAAGCCAGGGGTATGTTTATTTTACTATTCAATTCTGTGAATTTTAAAACATAAAATCTGTTGTGATTCTTGGTATTTCTCTTTTAAAATTGCAGTTTTATGAAAATTCAAATAATAATTCTGTTCAAACAGTTATGATAGTTTTAATTTGTCAATAGGTTTCAGAATTTACCTAAAAATTATCTTTTGTGAACTAGAGCAATTTTTTACTTAATTTTGTATTTCTATTGGAAGTAATAGTTATAGAAATAATTACAGAATTATTATTCGATATGTACATTCTATGGAACTGATAATGATTTAAAGCAAAATATAGTAATTTTTTAATGACCTAAGGGATGGATATGGATGTGGATGTCCAGTGTGGACTATTTAGGTACTTTGATTTTATTTTTTAATCCTTTTGTGATTAAAGGAGAAAAAGTCAAGGGCTGGGGTTGTGACTCAGTGGTAAAATGCTTGCCTAGCATGAAAAAAGCCCTGGGTTCAATCCCCAGCACCTGCAGAAAAAAAAGTCAAGCCCTTTTCTGTGTATTCATTTTATATCCCTAGAAGGGAATCTAGGGATTGAACCCAGGGGTGCTTAACCACTGAGTCACATACCCAGCCCTTTTTACTTTTTTTTTTTTTTTTGAGACAGGGTCCCTCTAAATTGTTGAGGATGGCCTCAAACTTGTCATTCTCTTGCCTCAGCCTCCTGGCTTGTGCGCTACCTGGCCCTTTGATCCATATTCTAAAAGACTGAAACATATAATACTGGTGAATATTGATAGCTTTGAGTTGTGTAGCTGTAATTCTGTGGTTTTAAAATTTTAGTTCACATTTCGTTTAGGCTTCAATATAGTTTCTTTTGGGCTTATAACTGATAATAATTTCATGATTGATACAGTCAGATTTAATTTGCACAATATAAAAGGAAGACATCGTTATTAACTGATAAAAAGTGGTGCATAATCTGCTGGCATGCATCACTATTTTGTGTGGTAGCTCTGGATCAAAAATAATCGAAAGGAATTGAGAAGATTAGTACAAGCCCTAGGAAGCCACAGGATGTGGGGAAAAATGTGAGATAAAATAGTAATAAGAGAATAGCCATGGAGAAGGTGGGTAATTTGCTAAAATGGGGTTAATTTCACATGAATAATTGCTTCCTGTGTGCAGTTTCTAAGAAATTGAGACCCTATTAAGTTCTTTGATTTCTGTATAAAGATTGTGGAATTCTGATGATTTTTTTTTTACTAAATTATTTAACCAGATGAATAGTAAATTTCATAAATTCTTACTAAAATTAAATACAGTATAACTGCTTGCATTTACATTTTACTTTAAATTCCTTCAAAGTGTGTTCACCTCTGTGTCACTATAGCCTTCATGTGAAAGGAAGTGTTTTCTCAATTTGTACTTCACAATATTGGTCCTAGAGTAGTGTAAGTCGATTTTAAATATTATGTACCTAGCAAGTTACAGAGCTAGGGTCTTAAATCACATGGCTTTGCATTTATGTATGTGTATATATTTATGTAATATTTGAGATTGAATCTTGCTATGACACCCTCCTTAGTAGCTGGGACTACAGATGTGTGCCTGTAATAGTTTTGTGTAGTAATATGAATATACAGGTTAGAAATCATATTTGATTTTGTTATTTCCTAGCCAAGTCTCTGATTATATTGCACGTTTCTGCTAAAATATGAGACTACTTGGTTCATTGAACACACTCTGCTCTTCTGTGAGTTCCTTCCTTTCTTTGAAAATGTTTGCTCATCATTTCTGTGAAACTCTTCTCATTCTTTTTTCTGATTTAGTTTTTTGGGTGTCTGTTTCTATCAATGGAGGACCTCGATTTGTTTGTTTGTTTATTTTGGTGCTGGGGATCAGATCCAGGACCTCACACATGCTGAGCTGCACCCATAGCCCTAATTAGTATATTCTTATTTATTTTTTTCTTCATACTTCCCTTCTCATTTTTAAGCAGAACAGTTCCTAGATTTCAGTTTAATGTGCTGCTTAATTGCCTATTCCTAAATAGATATTTTTATATCTTTTTTAATATATATTTTATTTCATTTATTGATTTTTATGTGGTGCTGAGGATTGAACCCAGTGCCTCACCTGTGTGAGGCAAGTGCTCTGCCACTGAGCCACAATCCCAGCCCCCTAAATATCTCTTAATATTTTTATTTATCTTGAATGATCTTATTTATGCTTTATCATTCATACTTTCTAAATCTTTTATCTTCTGACCCAGTCACTAAGTCTTGACTTCAGCTCTCCATTTCTGCTGTCCCCATTCTAATTCAAACCACCATGGATTTACCTGGTATGCTTCAGACTTCCTATAACTTGACTCTTTAGCTAGTCATTTTTATTTTCTTGATTTCTCTTTACTGCACTACAGAAAGAGTGATATTTGAAAATACCAGAGGGCCTGCCCCCAATAGGAGTGGGAGTAAAGAACACCCCCTGTCCCTACAGTCAGGCATTTGTGTGGTAGGAGACTGCAGGGGATTTTTCGTAAAACGTGGGGTATTATGCTCTTTTATAGTCCAGTAGGCATTGCTCTTTCTTTCTTTCCTTCCTTTGGGCCTTGTCCATGCTAGGCAAGTGCTCTATCTCTGAGGATAGAGCTCTTAAAATTCTGAGAGAGTCTCACTAAGTTGCCCAGGCTGGCCTTGAACTTTTGATCTTCCATGTAATCCTGAGTGACTTGAGATTATAGGTTTGTGCCATTGGGCCTGGCTCCAGTTTCCTTTCAGTCATTTTAGAGCTTGTTCTATCCTTCCTCCTTTTGTCCCTCCTTTCTTTCTACTCCTACCTTCATCCTCTTAACCTTCTCAGCACAGACACAGGCTTACACTCAAGTTGCCCCTTGGTTTAATTCTGGTTATATAAAATGAATAATAGAGGTTCCCCCTTCTTTGTAGGAAATGGCAATAGTGTATTAATTCCTGTAGAATTTAGTAATAATATTACTATTTTTGTACTGTAGTTCTTGCAAGTATACCACATTTTTATTTGATTTTTAGAACACATTGCTTCACTACCAAAGAATATATTACCTTCTCCAAAGGGGACCAAGGTTCTAGGAATGAAAATGGCTTCTTTTATTTATCGAAAGTACCTCAACTTAGACATAATAGAGAAGAATATAATGACTCTCTATATACCCATTACCCAATTTAGCATGGTTAATCTTTCATCTGAATCCCACCTTAGTTTCCCACTATCCATCTCCAATTATTTTGAAATAAATACCTTTATTTTATATGTAGAAACTTCAGTTACAATGTTTTCTTCAAGGGTACCAAATAGTTATTGACAGAACCAGAACTTTAATCCAGGAGAGTGTCCCTGTTATACATCCATAAGCTTGATTATCTAGGATATGTTTATAATGTTCAGAAGCCACAAAATGTTTCAAAAAATTCTAGCATTGACCTGGGATTGTGGCTCAGCAGTAGAGTGCTCGCCTAGCACGTGTGAGGCCCTGGGTTGGATCCTCAGCACTACATTAAAAAAAAAATAAATAAAGGTATTGTGTCCAACTACAACTAAAAAATAAATATTTTTTAAAAATTCTAGTTTTAATTTATGAACAAATGGTATTAATATCACAGAATAGTAAAGGAATATTACCCCCAATCCTATTGTCCTAAAATGAAAGTTATTTTCATTACTTTATAGGGGTATCTTATTTTTTTGGTGGTTATAGTTGGCCAGCATGACTTTATTTGTTTATTTTTATGTGGTGCTAAGGATTGAACCCAGTGCCTCACACATGCTAGGCAAATGCTCTGCCACTGAGCTAGAGCCTCAGCCCCAAGGGTATCTTTTAATAGTTTCAACATCTGTCTCATCCATCTGTGTGAACAGTTTTAGTAGAAGTCATTTTACCAAGTGTTTTTTTTCCTTTGGGGGAAGACCCCATATCATGGTGTATTGTTTTCCCTTAAGTAGGGAAACTTGCTTGCTAATCATTTTCTAGAATTTGTTTTCTGGCAGAAAAAAATCCCCTATAGGTAAACGCTTAAATTGATAATTTGTTTCCATATCATGAGAATGAAATTGTCTTTTCTTTTGCGGTATTTGTTTATCTGGAGAGTAGTTTGAGATTCTAAAGATTTTTGAGTATTGTAGTCTGTATATGGTGGTAAAGGATTCTTCCTTCTTTCTCTGAATTGAATCTCAGTTTCAGTTTATGGGTCAGAGGGTAAGTTTTACTGTAGAAAAACTGGAATTCTTATTGTTTTTTGCAGTCTTGGGGATTGAACCCTGAATTGTGTTCTTCCTAATGAATGGGAAAGAAACATATTTAGTTTGTAATTTGTACCAATTAACATATTTTAGATCTCTCTTAAAAGTATTTATTTTTTAGTTGTAGTTGGACACAATACATTTATTTATTTATTTATTTACTTACTTATATGTGGTGCTGAGGATCGAACCCAGGGTCTTGCAAATGTGAGACGAGTGCTGTACCGCTGAGCCACAAGCCCATCCCAAATATTTTAGTTCTCTTATCTTGAAACTATAAGTGGTGTTTCTCCTTACTTGATTAAAATACCTTGTAAAATGATGTATTAATTTTTCCACTTGGGAATAATATGCAAATAAGTATTTGTAAGTAATATAAGTATGTATCTTTGTTTTAATAGGCATCAAGCATGATGGAACTATGTGTGACACCTGTCGCCAACAACCAATCATTGGCATTCGATGGAAATGTGCAGAGTGTACAAATTATGATTTGTGCACAGTTTGTTATCATGGAGATAAACACCATTTAAGGCATCGATTTTACAGAATTACTACACCAGGAAGTGAACGGTAGGGGAAACAATTTTTTTTTCCCATTGTGGCTCCTTATTGTGACTATTAGTTAGCTTTAAAAACAGGATTAGGAAATAACTTCTGACAGCTGATTTAATATAAGTAGGTAGCAAATAACAGGGTAAACATGACTGGGTTTGCTGAAACGTGAGAGGAAAACTCTATGAAGGTGGAACTGTATGTTTTTCTGAGATAGTTATTAATTCTCTAACATAGAGATTTGACATCACTTATTATTTGGAAATTCAAAGGCAATCCAAAGAGACTGATTATTTTTTTCTCACTATGCTTTCTATTCCAATTGTTATGAGCCCTAAGGCCCATTGATTGAGTTATTAGGCATATATTAAGACCATATGACTACTATTTTTGTGAAGATTTGAATGTAAATAAGATGCAGTATTTTTAAGGAGTTTACAATTTAAAGGAAATAATAGATCAACAATAATTATCACATGTTATTTTAGACTATGGTAGAGATGCGTATTAGATATCTTAGAAGCAATGCGTAGGGTGTTAATAGTGATGGAATTTTCTTATGTAGTTATAGATAATGACTAGGAGCAAGAATACAGCCAATGATAGAAAGACAGCTAGAAGGAGGAATAGATAAATTGATCCTTTTTTTGGGGCGGGGGTACTGGGGATTGAACCCAGGGGTGCTTTACCCCTAAGTTACATCTCTAAGGCCCTGCCCCCCGACTTTTTTAGATTTTAAGGCAGGATCTGTCTAAGTTGCTTAGCGTCTCACTAATTTGCTGAGGTTGACTTCAAACTTTCGATTTTTCTGCCTCAGCCTCCTGAGTTGCTGGAATTACAGGTATATGCCACCGGGCCTGGCAGTAAATCAGTTTTTCAGTCAAATCTTCCCAGTGCAAATTGTGATTCTGTCCTTTATTAACTGAGTAATTCTGAACAAGTTATTTTTGTCTTTTGCTTATAATTAAAATAAAGATATTCCAAAAATGAATAGAAAATAATAAAAAAAAATCCCCAAACTTTTCTGAGTATATGAATGAGAAGGGTATAGAAGAATAAGAGATAGATGGCCTTGGAGAAACAAGCTGGTTCACGTAGTGCAAAATTTTTTCAAGGTCCATAATCTTCTATAAGTATACACCATTTTGGAGACAGTTTAGCATAGGTCAAATCCAGGTCACAGATGTTTTTTACTGGCATATACTAAAATTTTTTTAAATTATTACTGTAAATTTTTAAATGATTGCTAATCTTTTATGGATTCTTAAAACACACACACACCCAAAAGACTGTCAACACTAGGCTTATATTTGTTCTTGGCAACAATGACTGAAGCAGATGTGTACCCTTTAGACGGTGGGTTGACCAAAAGTTGACGGACGAGTTGACCAAAGTTCTACCACCAGCTGTTGTCTTATGAAGTCTGAGGCAAAGAACTGTTTACCATTTGTCATTGTAGTGCTGCCTATCTTAGGCCCTTATTTATTTGTATGGCTGCTATAGAGGAATTTATTTGTCACCTGTAAAACAGTGAAGAGTATAATGTTACTCTAAAGTGATTATACTGGATTCATATTTTGATTCCATTTCCTTTTTAACTTTTGTATACCTGGGCAAATTATTTAGCTTCTTTTTGGGAGGGAGGGAGTACCGGGGATTGAACTCAGGGGCACTCAGTCACTTAGCCACATCCTCACCCCTGTTTTGTATTTTATTTAGAGACAGGGTCTCATGGAGTTGCTTAGCACCTCGCTTTTGCTGAGGCTGGCTTTGAACTCATGATCGCTGCCTCAGCCTCCTGAATTGCCAGGATTATAGGCGTGTGCCACAGTGCCCTGCTATTTAGCTTTTTTGAGATTCACATTTCTACATTTGTAAAATGGATAATGTAGCTTTATCTTAAGGAGTATAATACACTTTATACCTGTGTAAGTCCTTTTATGTATAAATTTATTACCCATTTTTATATAAATTTAAATAAATACCTTTATTTTTAGGGTTTTGTTAGAGTCTCGTAGAAAATCTAAGAAGATTACAGCCAGAGGAATCTTTGCAGGTGCCAGAGTGGTACGAGGAGTGGACTGGCAGTGGGAAGATCAAGATGGAGGAAATGGGCGTAGGGGAAAGGTACAGCATTTTTCTGAATTTGTTATGCATTTCTAGAATATTCAGTAACAACTTTTAAAATTATTTCTTTTTTTTCTGGAAGAGAACAGATTGTTCCTGCTCTTTTGTAAGTATTGGTATTCCTTGAGAAGGTTGTTATATAGCTTTTGCCTTTTATTTCTACTATTTTTTTATAGCAGACCAGTGTTTATTATTATTATTATTATTAATATTATTATTGTTATTATTTTGGTACTGGGAATTGAACCCAGAGATACTTTACCACTATGCCACCTCCTTAGCCTTTTTTATTTTTTTATTTTGAGACAGGGTCTCACAAAGTTGCTTAGGGTCTTTCAGAGTTGCTGAAGCTGGCCTGTAACTTATAATCCTCCCCTTTCAGCTTTCTGCGTTGTTGGGATTCTGCCTAACTAGGTTTTACCTTTTTCTTTGAGGCTTCATATCGCTATTTTGTTGCCCAGAATGCCTTTCTGAACATTCCATTTTGGGCCATTCTCCCTAAGGGGATCTCATGTTCTTGACTTTCTATTGTTAAAACTTCATTTGAGGGGCTGGCGGTGGGGAGCTCAATGCTAGAGTGTTTGTCTAGCATGTGTGAGGCCCTGGATTTGATCCCTAGTACTGGAAAGAGAGAGGGACGTGGAAGGGGAAAGAGAGAATGAATAAATGAAAAAAAGGAAGGGAGGGAGGGAGAGACAGGGAAAGAAAGAAAGAAGTGTTTTATATTCCATTCCCTCAAAGGCCTATTCCTTAGGGGCAATTGGCAGCTCCTTTTTCTTTCTTTCTTTTTTTTTAAATAATTTTTTTAGTTGTAGATAGACATAATACCTTTATTTATTTCTATGTGGTGCTGAGTATCGAACCTAGTGCCTAACACATGGTAAGCAAGCGCTCTACTACTACTGAGCTACAGCCCCAGCTCCTCCTTTTTTCTTTAAAAAATAAAAAAGAAAGTGGCTAGGCATCGAAGGCCTCGCCATGCTAGGCAAGCACTTTACCACTGAGCTACATACCAGACAGTAGGCAGCTACTTGGTTATCCCCTCTATTGGCTTCTGTTACTCCTTTCAGGGCACACAGAGGCAGGGCTGCTTGGGGTCAGTCATGGCAGTTATTTTGAAGGGAGTTTTGTATAGCCTGGTCAGCTGGGGTGGAATACTAGGGATGTTTGGGTAAGTGAGTTGTTGGTTGTATATATTTTGGATTTCATGTTCCTTTGTCTGATATTCATTCTTTGGTTCCATTTAGTTAGCAAATATTATTGAGTATGTTCTGTGTTGTGCTAGATGTATTAAAATGAGTAGCATTTCACATTTGAAACTTAGGTGTCAACCACATCAGTTGCATTGTTACCTTTTTGAAAAATTTGTCTATAGCGTTGAAGAATGATTTTAAAAACTTTCTGAGAAACTTCACAGGAATTTGGAAGCCTCTTTTGAACAGACTTGGTGCTTTGTACATGCTTTTGAGTTTCAGATTTTTAAACATTTTTTTCATATAATTTTCTAAATTCAGAGTAGTTTTATTATTTTCATTTAAAATAATATGTCTCTTTAATACTTGGACATCAGACATGTATTTTATTAAAATAAAAAAGGAAACACTTTTTAATTCAAGAAACTATTGAATACTTACTATGGACAGGTTTCTGTTGCAGGCATCGGGGCTGCAGTAATAAGCAGACAATGTTCCTACCTGCCTTAAGTTTATATTCTAGTTTGGACCGAGAGAGAACAAAACAATCTAAATTCTTGTAAATGTAGTATGGTATGTAGATAGCAGCATGAGTGTCGCCTGACAGCTTGTTAGAAATATGATAGGTAATTGTAATTCATCTATTTCCCAGACTTTCTAAACTAGGGTTTGTATTTTAACAAGATCCCTAGGTAATTTGTATACATACTCAAGTTTGAGAATTATTGCTTTTAAAGGAAAATAGAGCAATGTGAATTTGGAAAAGTCTTGACTTTTGGGTGGTTGGATTGCCAAGGGGACATGCTTGGTAAATCAGTGGTAGAGAGAGGTAGGGGACCCCTTTGGGGTGGGGACAGGAACAACTCTGCCCCAGTGCATAGGTCATAGCAAATGAATTTCTGACTGGACATGAGCCTCTATCTGTGCTCTTCCTCATCAAGGCACCTTGGTGCTGAACAGCCTCTATAACATTTATAACAGTCCTGCATCACATATACCATTCTTATGTATCAATGTACATGAAAACTTAAGGAGTAGTGGTAAAATGAACACTTTTGCCCTCAGTATACAGATTAAGAAGTAGAATAAATACCTTTAAAAGCCTTATCCCATTTACAACACCCCTGTCCTAGGGTAACCAATATACTTAATTTGTGTTCATCATTCTCTTGTGTTTTTTTCCCTTTTTCATTTTGTGTTGTACCCTACAATAATTGATATTTGAGTTTTGAAAAACCATGTAGCAAGCATAAATCTAGCTGTTGTAAGGACACGGCAGGACTACTCCTTTTAGATATAGGCTCCCAGGAGAATATGAACTGAATAGTCTGCATAACCTGTTGTGCCCCAGTGTCATGAGAGTTATAAGAGATTTATAAGAGAGTCCTTTTTGGGCAGTCGGTGGGCAAAGTCATTCATAAATCCTGGGAACATAGTGCTCAACATAGTCAGAACATCAGGCAGCAAAGAAGGGCTAGCTGCTGGGCATCAGGCAGGAATATTTTCAAAGAAAATGGGTTGCTATGTATTTTTTTTTCCTAAGCCATACTATAGCCCACCTGAGTTTTAGGAGTAGGTTAAAGCAGAATATTCACTGGAGAGCAGAGAGGGATGTAGGTGAGAGATTTCATTGCTTAGGGAATGGTGGCAAGTGGAAATGTCATTATATAGTCCAAACAAGCCAAGTGCACTTGAGATGTGGATAAGGCTCACTTGGGCAGTATGTTCATAGGTCAGTAAATAGTATGGTGGCAGTGGGACTCTTGATAGTAAAAACCTTCAATTTGTCTGGACATGGCTACAATCTGGATGGATGTGTTACCTTTATGCCTGGTGCCCAGCAGTCATCTTTGACACTCCCTTTGATATCCCTTTTCCTGACTGTATCTCATGGGTTTTTTGTGTGTGTGTTTGTGTGTGGGGGGGTGGGGGTACTATGGATTGAACTCAGGGGCACTCAACTGCTGAGCCACATCCACAGCCCTATTTTGTATTTTTATGTAGAGACAGGGTCTCAATGAGTTACTTAGCACCTTGCTTTTGCTGCGCCGGGCTTTGTGATCCTCCTGTCTCAGCCTCCAGAGCTGCTGGGATTACAGATGTGTGCCATTGTGCTTGGCTCTTTTTTTTTTTAATTAGTTATACATGAGAGTAGAATGCACTTATATACTTTGATGTATCATACATAGATGGGATATAATTTCTCACTTTTCTGAATATACATATTGTAGAATCACATTGGTCATACAGTCACATACATACATATAGTAATAATGACTGTTTCATTATACTATTTTTCTTATCCCCATTGCGCTTGGCTCTTGTGTTTTTTTTTTTTTTTTTTAAGAGAGAGAGAGAGGAGAGAGAGAGAGAGAGAATTTTAATATTTATTTTTTTAGGTTTTTTTTTTTTTTTGGCGGACACAACATCTTTGTATGTGGTGCTGAGGATCGAACCCGCCCGCACACATGCCAGGCGAGCGCGCTACTGCTTGAGCCACATCCCCAGCCCTTTTTGTTTTTTTTTTTAATACCCCTATTATATCATCTTATATTTAGCTTGCTGTTTTGTTTTGGTAGAGCACACATCCTAGTAACTTCTTTGGGAAAGACTGCCTGAGAAGTAAATTTTTAATGCTTTTTTTTTTTTTTTCCTTCTGAAAAGTGACTTTGTATTCTTCCCCACACTTAATTGTGTGGTTAGGGACTTGGAAATCTTTTTTTAAAATTTTTTAATTGGCTTTTGAAGGCAGTTACTATTAACATTTGAAACCACATAAACTTTTTGGGGTTTTGCTATGTTGGCATTCTTTTGGGGGGGGATAAAAAGTAAGTCATTTTTGAGGTTTTTGAGTCATCAATATTACATTTTTGGTTTGTTATGATTTAACACTTGTTGCATTTTAAAAACAAAATAAAGAATAATAAGTGAAACCATCTTGTACATGTGACTCTGAGTGGAAACTTCATATAATAAAAAAGTCTTCTGGGTATCATTATTTAGGTATATGTTTGAAGACCAGTTTTAATTTTTATGGTTTGACTTTTCTTGCCTGTGTGTGTGAATGAAAATTGTTAACAGCCCACTTTCTCTTCAGTGCTGATTGTTTTATCCCTATTGGCTGCTATACCTCACATTAATTGTGTGTTTTTGTTTTTATAGTGCTAGAAATTGAATCTAGATCTTCATGTATATTAGTCAGACATTCTGCTACAGCCCTAAATCCCGAACCTCTGTTGACTGTTCTTTAAAGGTGTTTTTTTAAAATTTTTTATTTTTATTTTTTTAGTTTTCGGTGAAAACGACGTCTTTATTTTATTTTTATGTGGTGCTGAGGATCGAACACAGCGCCCCACGCATGCCAGGCGAGCGTGCCATCGCTTGAGCCACATCCCCAGCCCCTTAAAGGTGTTCTTAAATACTACTACCCATGTTAATACTGTAAGGCAATTTTTGTTTTATAAGTCTTTTTTTTTTTTAATACCTTTATTTTATTTATTTGTACGTGGCGATGAGGATTGAACCCAGGGCCTCACCCATGCTAGGTGAGTGCTCTACCACTGAGCCACAACCCCAGCCCATTATAAATCTTTTATTTTTATTATTTTTTTCTTTTTTAGTTGTAGATGGACACAATGCCTTCATTTTACTTATTTTTATGTAGTGCTAAGGATTAAAACCCAGTGCCTCACAGGTGCTAGGCAAGCACTGTACCACTGAGTCATGACTCCAGCCCCTGTTTTGTAGATCTTTTTGGATATATATCTATTAAGTGTTTAATATAGAGACATAAGATCATATTTCTTTCTTTTTAAAACACTTTACCAGAGTAGAAAGAATAATATAACAAATTCCCATGCATTCAACACCCAACAATTATTAGTTTTTTTTTTTAAAGAAAAAGTGCCATTTATTTGTTTTAAGAAACAGGGTTCTTTATATTTGATTGGTTGATTATTTATATTATGTTCTTTAAATCCTTGTATTTCCTATAAATTAATTGTTAGGTCTAGAGGCTTAACTAAACTCAGGTTCAGTTTTATTTGGCTTGTGTAACTCACAATGATACTATGTATTTTCTGTTGCATCATATTGGGGGCATATAAAGTCTGATTATGTATTATTAATGGGTATAGTAGTAATGTTGATCCTTATTATAGAGTTTCTCAGCAACTTAAAATGATTTTAGCAGCCATTTCTGTATTATTTTTTAATCAGAATAGGAAGTTAAAAAATAGCTAATTTTTTTGTGCCTTCAGCTTTGTTTTTGTCAATAATAAGTCACATCATCTATTAACTAATGTAAGAATTTCATTTAATGATTCAGAATTGACTAACGAACTTGTTTATACACCAACTAATTTGAAATTTAATGTGAATTTGATTAAAATAAAAAATGTCTTTTTTTAAGGTAGTCAAATAATTTTTGTACCTTCTATAAAAAATTCAGACTTATTTAAGAAAGTACATTTTTTTTAAACAATGAAGTAGAATCAGAGTATATTAGAAGGAATTTTGTTTTGCTAAAGATTACATATTTCATGAAACAATGTTATGAAAGATTATAAAATGGTTAATTGAGCAAAATGATAAAGCACAATCATGAAGCAAAGCAAATGGACTCTAAAGATATTGGGAAGCAGGAGAATAGAATTGATGAAATGTCCAAAGAAGACGTGAAAAATACTGGTAAGGGCTCTGGTTGTGGCTCAGTAGTAGAATGCTTGCCTAGCGTGTGGGAGGCACTGGTTTGGATCCTTGGCACCACATAAAAAAAATAAAACAAAATAAAGGTATTGTGTTTATAACTAAAAATTAAAAAAAATTCTAAACAAAAAAAAAGAAAAGAACTGGTCATGTTCCCCCTCCCCCTTAGACTGAGTAATAATTGTGTGGGTATCAATTTCTTGTTTTTATTCTTTAAAGTTTACATTACACACGTGTTGAACCTCGGCCTCAAGCATTTGCTCTACCACTGAACTACATCCTAGCCCCTACATATGTTACATTTTTATAATCTATAATATATTTTAAACTTTAAAGGAATAAATGGTTTCACTAATAATTTAAAGGGTTTCTCAAATGACTCATTAGATCTTAAACATAAAACATTTTATTTCTACAAAAGTATTATTAAATACCTAGTTTACAAAATAACTTTGTTTTTCTCTTTTTCATCCCTTCCCTTTTTCCGTTTCTTGTGGTATTGGTAATTGAACTCAGGGGTGCTCTACCACTATACTACATCCTCAGATCTTATTATTTTTTATTTTGAGACTGGGTTTCATTAAGTTGCCCAAGCTGGCCTTGAACTTGTGATTCTCAACTGCTGGGATTAACAGGCATGGCCAGCCATTGTGCCTAGCCCAAACTATATCTTTAGTACTAAGCAACAAAGAAAGGTCATTATATATTTTATTTAAAATAATAATATGCCTTGGATGGTAACTCAGTGGTTGGATACTTGCCTAGCTTGTGAGAAGCTCTGGGTTTGACTCCCAGCATGTAGAAAAAAAGTAATGGTTTGTTTTTAAATTTAGGCAAGGTTGCTGTTTATGTCAAAATGGAGAAAAGTAGCCTGAATTGTGTGTATACATACAGCCACCTACTGTAGACTGATATACTTGAGAATGCCCAAGTTTGGTGCTTGCTGTATATCATTTTTTGTGTACTAGATTCTAGGGCCATAAGTAATGGCAACTCCTGTGTGTTTGTGTTTCTATTTTAATTAAGTAAGTTTAAGAATCACTTTGTTTGGATGGGGAGCATGTAGATGGTGTCTGGGTTTCCATTATAGGGACTCTGTTTTACTTTTGCTGGCCTGCTTATTTGTGTCAGATGAGGGATGCTGCTGCAGAAGAAAGCAGCTCAAGTTCTTTTTTAACATTGCTACTGAGGTTCTTTTAGAATTTTGTGCTTGTCAGTTTTTTAGCTAACCAGAGAGCAGGTTCATCATAAATCAGTTTGGATATTTTGTCAAACATTTAAGTTTTCATATTGAGTAATTGGCTTAAAAGAATATACTGTTCTTGGGCTGAGGTTGTGACTCAGTGGTAGAGAGCTTTCCTAGCATGTGGGAGGCCTTGGGTTTGGTTCTCAGCATCACATATAAATAAATAAAAGAAGAGGAATATACAGTTCTTAAAAGAAGCCTTTTAAGAAGGTAAAAATCTTGAATTTTTTATGAAATTATTTTCTGATAATCTATTACTGTAATCACTAAGCCTCCGACTTAAAATTTCTACATCAGTTAGGGAATTATCTTCTAATTACGGAAAAATGTTTTTAATAATTATCTTGATAGAAGTGACATATTTGGAAAATAAGTATTTTTTATGATCATGTTATACAGTTGATAGGGGAAACAATTTTCAAGATTTAAATATAACAACTAAAATAATTAATGTCTTTTCACCCCTTTTAAAAAGTTCTTTTCTCCAAAACTTTGGTTAGGTAACGGAAATCCAAGACTGGAGTGCATCAAGCCCACATAGTGCAGCGTATGTTCTCTGGGATAATGGTGCTAAGAACCTCTACAGAGTTGGCTTTGAGGGCATGGTAAGTAGTAAAGTTACACAACAGATTAAATTTAGAAGAGTGAAAGAAGGGAAATAGTAGTCCTTGTGCTTCTTTCTCATTCCCTTCTGTTGTAATATGGTCATGTGATTCATGAATACACAATAAGAAGGAATTCTGTAAAGTGAGAATTTAATAAATTTGCAAGACCTTTGCATTTTTACTGTGTTTGTCCAAACTATTGAATAGTAAATATGATGTTTGCCCCCAGTTTGAGTACCTGACTATATATTGATCATGTAGATTGATCCTTTCTTAATGTAAATTTATGGGTATTACTAAAATTTATCAAAAAGATATTTTTCTTGCATTTTGGAGATTTATATAAAAATGATTTAAAATAATCTGTAAGACTAATCCTTGGCATAGACCTGGAAAACAGTATTAGAATGAAGTTTTATAGTATATTTGTATTCTGTGATCTGGTAAGTGTTGAAATTATTTTTAAGAATTTTTTCCTGTATTTTTAAAAAGTATAGAGTTGACAATTAAAAACAACTGAGAAACACCTAGAATTACCTAATGCTCAGGAGAATAAGGGAGATTTATTCAGTGGATTGCCCTGTAGTTCTGTAATTCATGGACCTTTGTTCATACATTGACTTAGATATTTAATTTTAAAGTGTTTAATTAATGCTGGATTTTAATATTTTTCATAGCTTTTTTTTTTTCTCTTTTCTTTTTGGTAGTGGGGATTGAACCCAGGGGCATGTTATCACCGAGCTACAACTTGGCTGTTTATTTTTTATTTTGAGGCAGGGCCTTACTATGTTGCCCAGTCTGGCCTTGAATATGCAATCTTCCTGCCTGCCTCAGCCTATTGAGTAGTTAAGATTACAGGCATGTGCCACCAGGCCTGGTTTTTCATATCCTTTTTAATTTTGAATGCATTTCCCTTCAAAGAATTTTTTTTTTTTTTTTTTTTTTTTTTTGTGGTGCTGGGGATCAAACCCAGAGTCTTGTACATGCTAAGCAAGAGCATTACTACTAAGTTATATGCCTAGCACCAAAGAATTTTTAAAATTTTATTTTTACTGCCTTGGGTTTCTCATTAGGAAATGAGAAAAATATCCATTATTCCCTTAGTATATTTTATTTATATATAAAAGTCAGCTATGTGAATTTACACAAATACTTTATTTGCCAAGTTATATCATTGAATATATCATCTATTTCTAGCTTTTCATTATCTTTATGCTTCTCCCAGTTTTTAAACTGTGAATTTTTGTAAGAGTCTGTTTATTAATTGCTTCAGATGAAAACTTTTGTGCTATTTGTGCTCAGGTACTAAATAAGTAGTATTGATTGAGGACTGAGTAGTAGTTCCTTTAAAAATTATACCATTATTTATTTAATGATATTTCTGTTGTTGGGTATCTTCCTCCTGCTATTGCTTTAGCAGGGTGTCAGTAAACATCCTTGTATACTTCTTTGAACATTTTGCATATGTTCCCTTAGGATAGATTCCTAGAAGTGGAATTGCTGTGTTAAAATATCACATTAAAACAATCTGATCTCTATGTCACTTTAGCCAGGATTGAGTGCCATTTAAAGATCTGGTGTAAAAGAAGCTATAAGAGAGTTGGGTTGTGTGTGTGGGTGGGGGGGGGCACAGTAGGGGGTGATATATATATAAAGGAGCTTCCATTCTTTAATGGAATAAGATACTTATCACCTTTTCTATATGCTAGTACTATTAGGCATAAATTTGCTTCTAAATTTTCATAGTAACACCCAGGATTGCTCTTCTAAGTCCACATTTTCTATACTTATTAAAATTTGCATTATAATTATACATAATAATTGAATTTATTATGCTGTATCTATTCATGCACAGTGTACTTTTTATTGTACCTCAGGTGCATACCCATTCAGATTGCTTAATATTTTTTTTCTTATAAAAGATAAGTGGTGAGCTGGGGCTGTAGTTCAGTGGCAGAGCGCTTGCCTAGCATGCATGAAGCACTGGGTTCAATCCTCAGTACCACATAAAAATAAACAAATAAAATAAAGGCATTCTGTCCCATCTACAACTACAAAAAAAAAAAAATTAAAAAAAAGTAAGTGGTAAGGAACTTCATTCAGCTAACCAAGTTATGGTGAAGTAAGGATTAACATTGAAGTAAATAGGAAAATTAAGAAGACAAGGAATCAAAGAAATGGATTTGGTATCATCTTTTCCTACTTTGTACTGCTATGTAGTTAATTGCTTCTACTTCTTGTCCTCACTTTCCTTACTTACTACATAAGTAATTGGCAGTGTCAAATGAGATAAAAATTTTGGTTTGTTTTTGGTAAAAGTATCTTTAAAGTTGAACGTGTTACACACATTTCAAATACCAGGTATTTGTTAATAGTTCTTATTTGGGTGTGTATTTTTGAAATACAGTGTTGATGATTCAGTTTTCACTTTGATCTTTAAAATTAGAAAGCTAAATGTTAATAAAGTATCTTGAAAGTATCTGAAGATCAAGTTTATAATTTTTATAGGTGTTTTTGAAAGCAGTGTTCAGTGTGCTTGTTAACCAACCTAGAGCTACTCTTCTGTGGTACCTGTGGTCTGAAATTTTTGTCTGTTTCAGGTATGCCATATTTTGTCTGTTTCAGGTATCACATATTTTCATAGGTGATTTTCTGTTTTTTCTTTTCCTTCTTAGTCTGATCTGAAGTGTGTTCAAGATGCCAAAGGAGGTTCTTTCTACAGAGATCATTGCCCTGTGCTAGGTGAGTTAGCGGATTAGAGAAGATTTCAAAATAATTTGTCAGAGTTCATAAAATCAGAAGTTAGACTTTAAGCAAATTAATTTCCATTACAGATACTTAGAAAAACACTTCTTTAATTTTATTTTAGTTTTAAAGCATTTGTTCATTTTTTAAATGATTTCTTTAGGCCCAGAAAGATTTGTCATGTCTTGAGAATTGATATACTCTTTATGTCATAATTTATATTTGAAAAATTTATCTTTTAATATAAATTTATATCATTGAAAATCTTTGCATTAGATTGCATCAATGTTGTATCTTGTGCTCTGTTGAGAATAGAATTTGACAAATAGAATAGAATTTAGTGATTATAAATTCCTTACACAGTTTCTGTAAAAGTGTAATATTAAGAGTTGCTCCATGGGCTGGGGTTGTAGCTCAGTGGTAGAATGCTTGCCTTACATGTGTGAGGCACTGGGTTCAATTCTCAGCATCACATAAAAATAAAAATGAATAAAATAAAGGTATTGTGTCCATCTACAACTAAAAAAAAAAAAAAAAAAGGAGTTGCTCCTAGATTAATACAGTAAATATGTCATGTGTCACTAAAATTTGAAAACCCAAACTACTTTCATTTTATAGATTCTTTAGTGTTACCAGAATTGACATTTACAGTTCTCTTCTTATTAAATATTTAGTCTCTGAATGCTTTCCTTTCTCATTTGAACTATATTTTCCTCTTTCCAAACCATTGACTTGCCTTTTTGTGAAAAAGTGCCATTTTCTTGTAGCACACCTTACATTTTTAAAAAAGGGAAATGTAGACAAATACTTATATTTTTGATGAGCTCATTAATTTCTTTTATTTTCAGAAACTTTTTTCTTGCCTTCAAAATAAAAAGGCAGAATCAATGTACGTTTTGGTTCCCTTATGTATAGTGTTTTATGATCAAAATGTCTTTGAGAACTTCGAAAATCCAGGGAATGAGTTTTGAAATGTAAAAAAAAAAAAAAAAAAAAAAAAAAAAAAATGTTCTTTAGGCAAAAATCACAAGATCTCCTTGTTCAAAAAATAATACTAAGCATTTCAGAGGAAAAAAAACAAAAACAAACCCAGGTGTTTTTTTTTTTATATTTTCTGGGTACTTTTGCTTTGGTGCAGTGATAGTCAATAAGTCATCCAGGCAGAAAAGTGAATATTTTCAACACCCAGAATGTTGTGTTCTGATATAGGTGATATAGCCCTTTATAGAGTCTACTCTTGCTCGTTTACCTGTTAGTAAGCCATCACATTACAATTTTTTGTTTGTTCATTTTTATGGTGCTGGGACTGTGCATGCTAGGCAAGTGCTCTGCCTTTGGAGTTACTTTCCTTTCCTAAATTATTAGTTTTTGAAGTCTGATGTTTGTTTTTTTTCTTTCTGTTTTTAAAACTCCCGGTTCTAGAATCTCATACTTAAAGTGAATTTTTAAAACATTTTAAGATTAGATGAAATCTAGAACTAAAATATCTAGATATTTTTCTTGTTTAAAAGTAATGCAGTTGTGGCTGGGCACAGTTACACCTGTAATTCCATTGTCTTGGGCGGCTGAGGCAGGAGGATTGCGAGTTCAAAGCCAGCCTCAGCAAAATCAAGGCACTAACCAACTCAGTGAGACCCTGTCTCTAAATAAAATATGGCTGGGGATGTGGCTCAGTGGTTAAGTGCCCTGAGTTCAATTCCTGGTACTCCCCACCCCCTAAAAAAACGTAATGCAGTTGTGAGGGAGGTTGGCTATGGGTATAAAATTAGAGATAGGAATAAGTTCTAGTGTTCTGTAGCACAGTAGGGTGACTATAGTTGATGTATATTTCAAAATAGCTAGAAGAGAGAATTTTGAATCATCTTACCACAAAAAAAGGATAAATGTTTAGGTTGATGTGTATGTTGATTACCCTGATTTGATCATCACACATCATACACACACACACACACACACACACACACACACACAGTTACTTTGTATCAGAAATAAGATACTTATTCCATAAAATAAAAGATTGTAAGGAAATAATAAGACTAATATGTTGGCCAACAAATGGATAAAGTAGTTCAAATGGACAGATTCCTAGAAAGAAAAAACTACCAAATGATTAAAGAAAAAAAAAGTTGGAATAGAGCTATAGCAAGAGATTGAATTAGTAATCACATACATACAAAATGCAGTTGCATGGTGTTGAATTTCTTTTCCCCTTTTCTTTTTTAAATTACCTCTGAAATTATAGGTGAGCAAAATGGCAACAGGAATCCTGGAGGATTGCAGATTGGTGACCTGGTAAATATAGATCTTGACCTAGAAATTGTACAGTCTTTGCAACATGGTCATGGAGGATGGACTGATGGAATGTTTGAGACTTTAACTACAACTGGAACTGTTTGTGGCATTGATGAAGACCATGACATTGTAGTACAGTATCCAAGTGGCAATAGGTTAGTAATATTTCTCAATTTTTGATAATGACAAAGTTAGTATGTAGAGAAAAAGAAGAAAGCAAATAATGTGCTGTAGTCAAAGACTTGTTAACAACTAACTCTTAGGTGGGAGATTAAAATGCAGAGTATATTGGTGAGGCAGAGAGAAACAAGCAAGAGGTCTGTGTAAAGTATGTGAATTTATATATTTATGATATAAAATTCTATATATTTTTTATTTTTCCTTCAGGAGTAAAATACATTATATCAGCAACAGGTCTCAGTTCATAATGGACTGTATCATCTACAATGAATGAGAGAAGTAACATCACAAATCCTTTGGCCCTCTAGGGTCATCTCTTGCTAGTGCAGCCCTTCCTTGTTTTAGACATGGACGCATACACTGTCTTATCAGCAATGTAGAATCTCATGTATTTCCTCACTTTTGCAGCTTTTTATGTGCTGCTTCATCTATGTGGATTTAATTCTCCTGCAGCCTATGACTATTGAGTTAATATGTTTTTATTACCTCTCCTCTTCCACCCTTCCTGATATTTAGATTTCCTATTGTCTATTTAATTTTTTTTTCTTTAAAATTTGATTTCTTGGAGTTTCTTTGAGTCTGGGCCTATGCCTTTTATTTTGGCCTTGGGGGCCAAAATCTATCCCATTTACTAGTATATTGTATTTTAAAGTAAAAGCAGTAGTTGCATTGAATAATAGTCTCACTGACAGAATAAAACAAATTAACATTAAGTTGCTTAAGTATGGAATTAGCTCTGATTGTGTCCAAATCTTAAAGGTATGTGGAATCATATCAATAGATGCAGAAAACTTGTATGACAAAACTCTTTAATAGTCTTTGTTATTAAAAACACTAAACATATTAGGGACAAAATGGAATTTCTTTGGCTATATTAAAGGGCCTGATAAAGGGCATCTAGAAAAAACCCATGGATAAAATCATACTTAATGGTGAAAGATTGAATACTTTCCCCCCTTTTCCTCTTATATTTAACATTATACTTGAGGTTCTAATGAGGGCAGTTAGACAGGAACAGAACTAAAAGGATGAAGCTAGAGACAGGAAGATGTAAAACTGTTCACAGGTGATGAGAACTTGTTTATAGAAAAATCTAAAGAATTTGGGTGTGATGGCACATACCAGTAATCCCAGGGAGCTGAAGGCTGAGTTGGGAGGATCACAAATTAAAGACCAACCTTGGCAATTTAGCCCTTACCTTAAAAAGGGCTGGAGATGTAGCTCAGCAGGAACAAGCATCCCAGGGTTCAATTCCCAGTACAAAACCAAACAACAAACTAACGAAATTACAGTAACAAAAAAAAAAAAAGAAGCAACAAAAAAATATTGATAAGCAGCTGCTGGGCCTGGGACCTCCAGCACCATGGTGTTGGAGAAGACCTTTAAGCAGCACCGCACCTTCTAACAAAGAGCAGAAGACATGCATCCCACCAAGATACAAGGGTGAGAAGCAGCTGCCTGGCCTGGACAAGACCAAGTTCCTTGTGCCCAACCCCGTCAACATGAGCGAGCTCATCAAGATATCTAATCAGAAGGCGCTTGCAGCTAAACACAAACCAGGTCTTCTTCCTCTTGGTGATGTTGAGTTTCTTGGGAGTGTGGACATGTGCCAAATCCAGTATTACTCCATCTTAACTTGATTTCATCTGCAAAAGACCCTACTTACAAATAAGGTCACATCAATAGTTACTAGGATTAGGGTTTCAATATATATTTTGGGTGCAGGAGGAATAATTCAAGCCACAACCGATGGTAGTATTTCCACAAGTAATATACAAATTTAAAATAATCTCTATCAAGATTCTTTTTTTTTCTTAGAGAGAGGAGAGAGAGAGAGAGAGAATTTTTTAATATTTATTTCTTTTAGTTCTCGGCGGACACAACATCTTTGTTGGTATGTGGTGCTGAGGATCGAACCCGGGCCGCACGCATGCCAGGCAAGCGCGCTACCGCTTGAGCCATATCCCCAGCCCCTATCAAGATTCTTTTGCCTTTTTTTTCTTGCAGAGATTTGACAGACGGATACTAAAATTAATGAGAAAATTCAAGGAATCCAGAATAACCAAAAAACTAAGTTGGAGATCTCATGTGTCCCAGTTTTAAAAATTAAAAACATATCTAAGATAGTGTATTAGTGATAAATGTTGAACATACAGATTGATGGAATAGAGAATCTAGAAATAAACCCTTGCAGTTAAGTTAGTTGATTTATTTTTTTCTTTTTAATTTAGGTGGTACTGGAGATCAAACCTTAGGGCCTCATGCCTGTGAGGCAAGTGCTGTACCATTGAGCTGCATCTCCAGCAGGTCTCTTGATTTTGGGCCAGTGTTAAGATAATTCAGTGGGGGGGGGGGGGGGCTGTGGTTGTGGCTCAGAGGTAGAGAGCTCATCTCTCACATGTGAGGCTCTGGTAAGATCCTCAGCACCACATTAAAAAAAAAAATAAAGGTATGGTGTTCAACTACAACTAAAAAATTAATAAATATTTTTTTAAATGAGTTCAGTGGGGGAAAGAATTTTTTTTTTCAACAAATGCTGCTAGAACAAATGGATGTCTGCATGGCGAAAGAATGACACTGAACCCTGGCCATATACCATATACAAGTTATTAAGTAAAAATTAATCATAGAGGGCTGGAGACGTAGTTCAATGGTAGGGTACCTGCCTGGCATGCATGAAACCCTGGATTTGATCCCATCACTGAAAAATAAATTTGATTGTAGATCTTAGTGTAATAGCTAAATCTATAAAAGTCTTTTATAGTCCATTATAGGTGTGAATCTCCATGACTTTGGATTAGACAATAGTTTTATAACTATGACCCAAAAAGCAGAAACAACCAAAGAAAAAGTAGATATATTGGGCTTTAAAATTGAAAACTTTGATGTTTCAAAGGAGACTATCAGAAATAAAAATGGTTGAGATATATAGCTCAGGGGTAGAGTGCTTGCCTAGCATGCATGATCCTCAGCACTAGAAAAAAAAAGTGTAAAAACTCATGAAATGGGAGAAAATGTTTATATATTATGACTATTAAGGGGCTTGTATATAGAATATAAAAATAATTCTTAAAATTCAACAATAGGGACTGGGGATGTGGCTCAAGTGATAGCACGCTCGCCTGGCATGCGTGCGGCCCAGGTTCGATCCTCAGCACCACATACAAACAAAGATGTTGTGTCCGCCGAAAACTAAAAAATAAATATTAAAATTCTCTCTTTCTCTCCCTCCCTCCCTCCCTCTCTCTCTCTCTCTCTCTCTCTCTTTCAACAATAAAAGACAACCCAGTTGAAAAGTGGGCAGAGAAAGGATTTGAATAGCCATTTTTTCCAAAGAAGCTATACAAGATGACCAGTAAATTCATTGTATTAGTTGACTAGGGCTACCATAAAAAAATACTTCAGACTAGTGTCTTTATCAACAGAGATTTATTTTCTTAAACTTCTGGAGGCTAGAAGTCAAGAGATAAGAGTGTTTTCAGGGTTGGTTTCTGGTGAGTTCTTGTCCCTGGCTTGTAGGTGACTACCTTCTCACTGTGTCCTCATTGGTCTTTCCTCTCTGTGTGATTAAAGAGAGATTTCTGGTGTCTCTTAATTTTATAAGGATACCAGTTCTATCAGATTAGGGTCTTACCCATATTACCTCATTTAACCTTTATTACCTCCCTCATGGCCCTTTCTCCAAATAGTTATATCAGGGGTGACGCTTTATTATATTAATTATGTAGGAACATAGATCTGTGCAGAGTACGCATGAAAAGATGCTTGTTACTGTTAGGGAAATACAAATAGAAAACCACAGTGAGATACTGCTTCACATACTAGGATATTATTAGGAAAGTACAGCTCAACACCACAAAGAGGGGGTTTGATCTGCAGCCACCTGGGAGAAGAAGGATGTCCCAGAAGCGTCCCGGCTCTCGCAGCAGGTACAATGCTTCAGTACATCCGTGGTCAGACCATTTACCAAACTTGTGAAGGCCACCAGTTCAGATACATGGCATTGAAGGTCACTATGCCACTGCTTTTATTCTGCTGCATCTAAACAGAATAAACTGGAACAAGTAGAAAAGCAGTTGTTGAGAGTAGCACAACTCCTGAAGGAACCCAAAATGGCTGCTTCTATTCTGAATCCTTATAGTAAGCATTCCATCAAAATGAAAAGTCTAAATGACATGACAGCAAAAAAAGTTTTTTTTCGCATTATATCTAACCTGTAAATTTGCTTGCTGAAAATGGTCTCCTAAACAATGCCCTTGGCATCATTTCTGCCTTTTCTACAATTATGAGTGGAGAAGTACCTTGCACAGTGACCACCATGTTTCCTTTAGTGGAAGCTAATCCTTCTGAGTTAAAGACAGTCCTGGAGATAAAGACAGTCCTGAAGAGCTTCCTAAGTCAAGGCCAAGTATTGAAATTGGAGGTTAAGATTGATCCAGCATTTATGAGTGGGATGATTGTCCATATTGGAGAGAAATATGTTGATATGTCTGTAAAAACCAAGATTCAGGAGCTGATCGGCGCTTTGTGGGAGAGTATCTAAAAGTGTTAATTTCCTGTCATCAGTGAAAATTCTTAAACACGGAACAACAATGTTTTAATACTCTCTTCCTGAAGAGAGTATTAAAAACAAAAAAATCAACAAAACCATAATGAGTTACCACTTTGTATACTGTGATGGCTAGAATAAAAAAAAAATTGACAAAAACAAATGTTACTGAGGGTATGGAGAAAATGGAACTATCATGTATGGCTGGTGGTATTGTAAAATGATGGAATCACTTTAAAAGAGAGTTTGTTACTTTCTCAAAATTTGAATATAGGATTATTGTATGAGCCGGAAGTTCTATTCTTATATGTACCCAAAAGAACTATAAACATATGTACACACAAAAATCTATAGATGACTGTTGATAGAATTATTATTCATAAAATTATTACTCATAAAATTATTTTCCATAAAATTATTATTCATAAAAGTAGAAACAACTCAGATGCTTATTAACTGATGAATGGGTGAACAAAGTGTGATATAGCTGTACAGTGAAATATTGTTTGTTCATAAACTGGAATAAAATACAGGGATACTGCAATATAGATGAATATTGAAAATGTGCTAAGGGAAGAAGCCAGCCAGAAAAATAATTCACATAGTGTGATTTTATTTCTATTAAATGTCCAAAATAAGCAAAACCAAAAAAACAAAGTAAATTACTAGTTTTTTAAGGGCTGGTTGAAGGGTAATTGCAGAGTGACTGCTAATAGTTATGGGATATCTTTATGAGGTGATGAAAATGAAATTTGATAGTGGTAATGGTTGTACAACTTTTATACTAAAAATAACTGCATGACACTTTAAATGAGTGAATTGTTTGCTATATGAATTATATCTCAATATTTTTTTTAAAAGAAAGAAAAATCTTAAGGACACAATGTAAGTTCCATTTAGTATTCACTCATACTTTTTGTGTCAAATATTCTCTTGTTTGGAAATATTACACAAATTAGTATTAGTTGCAGAATTCATTCTTGTTCAAAATTCTTTCTTGGACAGTACAATATTAACAGTAATTTGGCATGTGAGTTCCAGAAAAATAATCATTTTTGTTCCTTTTTCAGCAAAATTGAATACTTATTCTGTATTAGACCCTGTGATTAGTAGGATTACAAAGACAGTTAAGACATGGTTTCCTGCTTTGAAGGTTTTCCCCTTCGAAGTGTTCAAATAGACAAACTGGAAATAACTATAATAAAATGATACAAATAATATAGGTAGGTAAGCAGGGTATCCTGATGGCACAAAAGAAGAGAGAGAAAACTTTAGAGAGAAAACTATACTATAGATAATTTATTTTTTAAAAAAAATTTAATATATTATTTTTAGTTGTCAGTGGACCTTTATTTATTCATATGTGGTGCTGAGAATCAAACCCAGTGCCTCACACATGCTAGGCAAGCGCTCTACCACTGAGCCACAGCTCCAGCCCAACTTAGTTAATTTAAAAGATGGACTAGCTTCCACTAGGACAGGGAAACACTTCAGGCAGAGAGAGCAAGTTGAATCAGTACCATTTTGGAGTGTTGAGAATGAGGTGAAGGGCACTGTGGTTAAGACAAAATAAACATTTGTTTATTTCATTCTTAACTATGTGAAGGCATTTTTTCTTTGGGATTGCTTTAGTAAAAAAAGTTTACTTGTGTGATTACAGGAACTTAGTAACTAACAGACTTTTATGTTGTGATCTCAGAATCTTTTGTATGCTAATAAGCAGTTGAATTAAGGAGAAATGATATGATACCAATACTGTAGAAGCTTTTCTGATAAGGGATCTTTTTTCCTTTGGAGTTCAGTGTGGAATTAGGGAAAGAGCTTTGTTATACATTGTGGCACTTCTGTTTGATGGAATATTTAATAGTCATTAAAATGATGGTTATGAAGATGGTAGCAACCTCAAAAAATGCTTATGTATGCGAAATAAGTCAAAGTCAGAAGGTTAAGAGTTGTATATTTTCTCTGATGTGGAAGCTAGAGAGGAAAAGGAAAAGAAAGATTGGGGCAGATCTCATGAAAATCAAAGGGAAATCAGTAGAGGAAGGGGAGCAAGAGGTAGAAGGTAGGGAGTGAGGGGAAAGTGCTGGGTAGTGATACTGGCCAAATTATATTGTTACATTGTATATTGTGTGCATGTACCAATAGGTAACAACAATCCCCTCAGAATGTATAATTATAATGCACCAGTTTAAAATATATATATATTTTCAATACATTATAATTTTATATTTCAAAAATGCATTTTTCTGAATGTTATTCAAAGTTATATTTTATGGTCAATAAATTTGTAAATAATAAATAAATAAATAAATTTGTAATTGATGTCCAAAAAATGCTTGTAAAGTAAAGAAGTCAGAATCCAAATTTGTTTTAATACAGTGATTACAATTATGGAAAATACCCATGCGTGGCAAATTAAAACAATATAGTATTTTTATGAGATTGGCAATGTTTTGGGGAAATGGTGCACTCTTTTGTAGTTTGGGTCTATTTTTGGTAAATGGGGGTCCACCGGGGAGTGGTGGCTGGAGTTCCTGTGGGTGGGTAGCAGCTAAGTGTCCTGCGTGGGAGCCAAGCGGCGTCTGGGAGTTCTGCGCTGGTGCTGATGCGTCCTGTAAGGCACTAATGAGCCCTGTGTGGGCTAGTAGTTGGGAGTTGGGAGTCCTGCTCTAACGCTGAGGCCCAGAGCCCTGCGCAGGGCATAGCATTGGTGATTTCTGTGTGAGAGAAGCTGTGTAGAGGTACTTTATCACTCTAAGAGAAGCAGTATTCCCACTAGTTGAGACCTGGAGCGACAGAATGCTGCCTCCCTCTGGCCCACCATCTTGGATCCTCCTATCTTTTGGAATTATAAAGAAATATATTTTTTAAATCAGGAAGGTTTTTTTTTTTTGAGCATTATAGGTGTACATTGTAGTTGGATTCACATTGTAAAGTAAATATTCTAAGATGCACTGAGAAAAAAATAATAGAATGATATGTTTATGTATGTCTACAATGATCCTATTTATGGAAAATAACAGCTCTCTAGCTTTATGAATATCATTCAGCATAGTGATAGAAGATCTGTAAGGATACATAATAGAGAATTAGTAATGGTTTCTAGTGGGGTAGTAATGATGATCCAGGTATGTTTGTGTGATATGGAACTTTCACTTTACATGGTTCTGAAATGTTTAACAATGGTCATGTATTTTATAGCAGTTTTTAAAAAAATATTTATTTTTTAGGTATAGATGGACACAACATAATATCTTTAATTTTATGTGGTGCTGAGGATCGAACCTGGATCCCGCACATGTTAAGTGAGCGCTCTACTACTGAGCCACAATCCCAGCCCCAATAGCAGTTTTTAAAAATATCCAGAGGGTGGTGAGATCACATATGACTCTGTTTCCAAATTTGTATAATAAAATTATAACATGAAGAAAAATTATAAAAAAGATACAGATCATTCAGAAGGTAGTTGCAAAGGCTCTCTTTACTCTTTTGATGTGTATAAGATCTTTCTCCCTGTAGTGTTGAAGAATGTATTAAAATTAAGTAAACTTACTGGGCTGGGGCTGTAGCTAAGTGGCAGAGTGCTTGCTTAGCATGTGTGAGGCAGTGGGTTCGATCCTTAGCACCATATCAGAAATAAATAAAGTCATTCTGTCTATCTACAACTACAAAAAAATAAATTAAAAATAAGTAAACTTACTTATTTTGAGTTTTGGCTTTGCTTTTGTAGATGGACCTTCAATCCTGCTGTTCTCACTAAAGCAAACATTGTCCGAAGTGGGGATGCTGCGCAGGGTGCAGAAGGAGGGACTTCACAGTTTCAAGTGGGTGATCTTGTGCAAGTTTGCTATGATCTGGAAAGAATTAAACTTCTACAAAGAGGACATGGTGAATGGGCTGAAGCAATGCTTCCAGTAAGTATATAAGATAGTTTGGGGCTAGAGATTACACTTTATTTATGTAGCTTTTTAAAGTAAATTGATTTTGGAAACAAAAGAGGCATAAACCTTCTTAGAATTGTACCTCCATTGGCACTTAGAAATTAGAAATAGCACTGAGTGTGGTGGCTCATGCCTGTGATCCCAGTGACTCAGGAGGCTGAGGCAAGAGGATTGCAAGTTCAAAGCCAGCCTTAGTAACTTAGTGAGCAACTTATGAGACCCTGTCTAAAAAAATAAGGGCTGATTATGTGGCTCAGTGGTTAAGGGTTAAGTGCTCCTAGGTTTAATACTCAGTACCAAAAAAAGAAAACAAATTAGAAATTGTTTTCTAATTTATTTCACTTAAATTAGCCTGAGAAGGTCCAGAAAGGGATGTGGTTGATCTTTTTTTAATTTATATTTTGTGGTACTGAGGATTGAACCAAGGGATGCTCTTCTACCGAGCCTCATCCTCTACCTTATTATTTCATATTTGAGAGAGTATTTCATTAAGTTGCCAAGATTGGCCTTGAATTTGTGATCCTCCTGCCTCAGCCTCCTGAGGAGCTAATTTTACAGGAATGTACCATCACACCTGTCTTGTGTTAATATTTTTGATATAGTACAATGGAGAATGTGATATGGTGTTAGGCAGTAGAGGCTCTCCTGATACCAAGACCCTGAATGAGATAGGAATATGCTCGTTCAGTTTCCAGCAGTTCCACCACAGCTTTCCTGCTTTTGGGACCTGTGTCTCTAAAGGTCCCAAAATCTGAATCATCTGAGGTTAGCTTTCCTCTCATACAGTACAGTTCAATTTTATTATTCATTCAATACATTTTCACCAAATGCTCATTAACAACAGACAAAGGAGTGAGTAGGTCCACATAAAATGTGGCAGGGATCATGGTTGAATCCTAGTACACAATTATTATGGAGAAAAGAGAATAATTCTAAATACAATGAAAATATACTAGAAAAATGTGCACAGAAAACTGAATGTAACCAAAATCTGGTAATTCCAAATGAGCTAAGAGAAATTAAGAAAATGACAGGATATAAAAAAAGAAATAACAATTAGAAATAATGTGCTAAAATTTTAGGAAATGAAGAGAAAACGTCACTTTATTTTTTATTTTTAAATATATATATAATCTTTTAGTTGTAGGTGGATACAATACCTTTATTTTATTTATTTTTATGTGGTGCTGAGGCTCAAACTCAGTGCCTCATATATATTAGGTGAGCACTCTACCACTGAACCACAACTCCAGCCCCAAAAAGGTCATTTTAGAAATGGAGACTAATTTATTGGCAGGAACACAGAGCAAATAAGTATAACAGATAATGTCTTAAGAGCAGTAGAAGGAGGGCTGGGGCTGTAGCTGTAGCTCAGTGGCAGGCTCTTGCCTAGCACGTGTGAGGCACTGAGTTCGATCCTTAGCACCATATTAAAAAAAAAAAAAAAAAAATATATATATATATATATATATATATATATATATATATATAAGCAAAATAAAGGTATGCTGTCCATCTACAACTACAAAAAAATTTAAAGAAAAATAGAGCAATAGAAGGAAATAAGTAGGAAATTAAAAAAAATTTAAAGTTGTTGATGGACTTTATTTTATTTATTTATACTTGGTGCTGAGAATCGAACCCAGTGCCTCACACATGTGAAGCAAGCACTCTACCACTGAGCCACAACCCCGGCCAAGAAGTAGGAAATTTTAACAATAAAAAAGATACAAAAAAAAATTCCACAGAAGTGCAAACATGGAATACCCAATATAGCTATATTAATAAGCTTTTCCAAAAGGAAAACCAAAACTCAAATGAAATGAAACAAATGCTACATTTTTTCATTTTGTTTGTTTCACTTTTTGCAATGGTAGGGATTGAATGTAGGGCCTAGAGCAGGCCAGGAAAGCACTCTACTACCAAGATACATCCTCAGCTTTAAAATCTGTGATTCTAGAAGAATACTTTTGAAATTAAGAATTTGAAACTAAACATTAGAGGGAGGGTACATTGCATACTTGGGAAAACTGATCCAGAACAATAGGATAATGAACCATATTCTGGGAAAGTCTTTAAGAAAAGAAACAATTTCTTGGACTTCTAGGCTAAAAACCAAAGTATTGGTCTTGAAGGAAAATCGTTTTGCTATTAAGAAAAAATCTGATCTTGCTGGGTGCCGTGGCACATGTCTTTAATCTCAGCTACTTCGGAGGCCAAGGCAGAAAGAGAGAACCTGTTTCACAATAAAAACAAGAAAAGGGCTGTGGATATAGCTCAGTGGTAAAGTACTAGTCTGGCATGTGCAAGGCCCCTGGGTTCAATCCTCAGTAAAAACATACGCACACATACACACACAAAAAAAAAAAAAAGAAAAGAAAAAAAATCTGATTTTAGTATATTATGTCAGAAAACAATGAAAATAACATTTATTTAAGATACTTAGGAAAGAAAATTTTAAACTAAAGATTTTATATATAACCAAAGTAACTTTATAGTGTAATAGCTGCAGATTGCTATCAAGATGTAAAAATTCACAGAATTTTATTTCCATCAGTCCTTTCTGAGTAATCTTAGGAATGAGTCTTAAGACAACCAAAATGACTAAGGTTAAATGACAATTTTGATGGAAAGGGGAGAGAACATAATGACTGTATGTTTTAACAAAGTAAAGTATAACTATCCAAAACTGGAGTGGTAATGAAGAGAGCTTATGGAAAGATCGATAAACTGTTTGATTGTATTTTAGTTACATGAACTGGGATGAAATCAAAATATTAAAAGAGATAGGGTAAGAGATATGTATCTATACATACATCTATACATCTATAAATGTATATGTTTTTTAAAAGAAGTAATAAGGAGATATATATGTACACATATATGTATTTATGTAAACGAATTAATGTAAATAACTGTTACTACAATAGAAATTTTATATAAGAAAAGTAATGAAGCTGGGTGTGGTAGCACATGCCTGTAATCCCAGTGATTCAGAAGGCTGAGGCAGGAGGATTGTGAGTTCAAACCCAGCCTCAGCAACTTAGTGAAGCCCCAAGCAACTTGGGGAGACCCTATCTTTGATGAAAAAAAAAAAAGAGCTTGGGATATGGCTCAGTGGTTAAGTGTCCCAATACCCCCAACTCTACCCCCAAAATTACCTATATTAAAAGAGGCTAGGATATGGGGCACCAAGGTTAGAAGGGATTGAATATGTCTTATTTTATGTATTTGATTTAAAAGCATTCACATTTTATATAATAGTAAAACAAAATTGAATTTAAAAAGAAGACTTCTTCCTACATGTAGAAAATACATGAATCTAAATATATTTCCTCGGTTGGCATAACCATAGAGAAGGGAAAATTCTAAGTGATTGTGTGTGTGTGTGTGTGTGTGTGTGTGTGTGTGGTGCAGATGGAACCCAGGGCGTGAACATATCAGGCAAGTACTTTACCACTGAACTATAAACTCCCAGCCCCTCCATGTGATTTTTAAAAAAAAATATTTATTTTTTAGTTGTAGTTTTACATAATACCTTTATTTTATTTATTTACTTTTATGTGGTGCTGAGGATCGAACCCAGGGCCTCGCATGTGCTAAGTGAGCATTCTACTGCTGAGCTACAACTCCAGCCCCCATTCCATGTGATTTTAAAACACAGTAATTTGTGTTTATATCCTTACAGAAGGAATATACACAAACTGCATGAAAAAGAAATACACAATTTTCAGAACTCTTCTTCTATATAGTAGTTTTGATACTGTTATTCTGAGATTGTTGTATGTGACAAAAAATCAAATGAATACTTACATCATAATTTTTTCATCCCCAGTGAATTTGAGAACAAGAATTATCAAAGTGGAGAAGGGCAATATGTATGATATAGAAGAGATAAAATAAAAACTCTGTCTCTTTGATTCAAATTGGAAGAATGTTTAATCTCATGATTTGTCTTTCAAAATATAACAAAACAAAGAAGGAAAAAAAACAAAACCTTTTTTGCTCAGTTCTGTCAATGAAAAGACCTAGAAAACAGTGAGCATTCTAGTAGTAATAACCAACCTCAGTGCCCGTGTTTTGGTTTTGAAATATCCTTGTGCTTTAGTTAAGAATCTCTTTGAAGAAATGGTTAGTGGTAACCCATTGGAAGGCATTGAAGATGAGCCTTATATTAGATAGCAAGGAAGCCATCAAAGATTTCTTCTGTTTTTTTGGTGCTGAGAATCGAACCCAGGGCCTTGTACATGCAAGGTAAGCATTCTGCCAACTGAGCTATATCCCCAGACTGCCATCAAAGATTTCTAAGGTTATATTAAAAGGACCAACAGTAGTTGGATGTAGTAGCGCGTGCCTATAATTCCAGGAACTCTGGAGGCTGAAGCAGGAGGATTGTAAATTCAAGGCCACCCTCAGCAATTTAGTGAGGCCCTAAGCAACTTAGTGAGACCTGCTTCAAAATAAAAAATAGAAACTAAGGGCTGGGAATATAATGCTCAGTGGTTAAGTACTCTTGGGTTCAATCCCCAGTCCCCCCCCCCCCCCAAAAAAAAAATAAGAAGACCAGCAGTTAACTTGAATGGATTCTCACTGACCAAACACAGGATCATAAGAAACCTCATAAATCAAATAATCCTGTTTCTTTTTTTTTTTTTTTTTTCCTGTGGTACTTGGCATTGAACCCAGGGTCTGCTTTACTACTGACCCATACCCCAGTTCTTTTTATTTTTCATTTTGAAATAGGGTCTCACTAAGTTGCTTAGGGCCTTGCTAAGTTGCTGAGTCTGGCCTTGAACATAGGATCCTCCTGCCTCAGCCTCCATAGCCTGTGGGATTAGAGGTTATGTGCTACTATGCCTGGGTTACATCTATGTTTGAATCATCTGATTCCAAAACATGAGTATACAAAATAGCAAGTTTACTTCCTGGTGAGTTGACTCACATTGGTAATCCCATTGACTAGGGACACTGAGGCAGGAGGTTCACAAGTTAAAGTCCAGCCTCTGCGAGTGAGACCATCTCAAAAATTAACAAGGGTTGGGCATGTGGCTCAGTGATAAAGCACCCTTGGCTTCAATCCTCAGTACCAAAACATGAACAAACAAAAAGAAAAACATATCTATTTTACTACATAAATTATTTTCCTTCTATGAGTTTTGGGGGATTAAGTCGTGGTTTTTTTGTTTTTAAGAAATCCTATTTCCTCTTCTAAACTATATTGATCATGATTTTGGACTACCTGATTTGCAAGTTCTCAAGATATAGGGTTAAAAAGGGGTTAAATATAAAAAGTTTTTATGAACAAGATAGACTTTATCATGACCTTTTATATACTTGTGGAAGTGTAATGGTATTTACTAAGATATTTTTATATAGGATGTATTAATGTATTAAGTAATACTTTTTAAAATATCTTTTAAAGATTTTTTTCAGGTTTGTAACTAATACATAACTCATTTGAAAATGGATATCCTTTAAAATATTTGAAATTAGGAACAAGTAAAATTAATACTTTTATTTTTGTGTATGTGTGTGGTACTGGGGATAGAAACCAGGGGCGCACTTTACCACTCAGCTATATCCCCAGTCTTTTTATTTCTGTTTTGAGACAGGGCTTCATTAAGCTTCCCAGGCTCACCTCAAATTTGTCATTCTCTTGCCAAAGCCTCCCAAATTGCTAGGTTTATAGGTGTGTGCCACCACTCCTGGCAGGTAAAGTCAATATTTTAAAATGTAAGAACTAACTGTATGTGTTGGCATATGCTTATGATCACAAGTACTTGGAAAGCTGAGGTGGAAGATCACAAATTTTAGGCCAGCCTGGACAACTTAGTGAGACCCTTTCTCAAAACAAAATAGAAGGGGTTGGGGATGTAATTCAGTGGTAGAATGCTTTCCTAGTATGCATGATGAAGCCTTGGGTTCAATTCCCAGTACTGGGCGTGTGTGTGTGTGTGTGCACGCACACTGATTTATTTTATGATATGTATTTAGAAACATGAATCTTATCTGTTTTTTGAAAAGACTTTAGGTAAAGTTGGCCGAGTACAACAGATTTATTCAGACAGTGATTTAAAAGTGGAAGTTTGTGGAACATCTTGGACTTATAATCCAGCAGCAGTTTCCAAGGTAGCATCCGCAGGATCAGCCATTAGCAATGCATCTGGTGGTACGTTTTGCACTGTTTCTTTAAAAGTATGATTTACTTTCTGAGTGGCTTATTTTGTTTAACACAATGTTCTATCCATCCATTTTCCTGCAAATGGTACAATTTCATTCTTCTTTGTATCTGTAAGCCATGGAGGAAAATGAAAAGAAAGGTGGGGGATCTCATGAAAATTGAAGGGAGATTAGTAGAGTAAAGGAAAGGGACCGGGTGGAGGGAAGGGAAAGGGAAATACTGGGAATGATGTTGGCCAGATTATATTATATTGTGTGCATGTATAAATATGTAATAATGAATCTTACCATCATGTATGACTAATAATATTGTATGCATGGACAACTAATAATATTATATAATATGTACCAATAAAAAATATGGTAAAACAAAGTAATATGGTTTACATTAGAACCTTTGCTAATTTCCTCAGTTCTCATATATAGATGATGATGTGTGTGTGCTTGGCTTTCTCCCAGATTACATAGGCTCAGTTGAATTCTGACCATCTTTTAAAGTTTCACTAAAGGTTTTTCTTTTTCTCCTTTGTGATAAGCAAACTTTATTCTGGCTGAAGTACTCTCTGGAAAAGTTCCATAAATAATGTGCTTTTTCTTGAGTTTATCAGGGGCTTCTTAACCTGAAATTCAGTATTCTACACTGTAGTCAGAACTTTTCTGTCAAAGAACTATCACTTCTTAAACTGCTTCATTTTTTTTTCTTTATTTACGACATTATTGCTAGCAACTGGCTTTCTTCCTGGATATTTTAAAATATTAGCATATTTTTCTCTTTATCACTTAATAAGAGTTATTATTAATACATGCCATAATAAGTAGAAAACCATGTTAAAATGTGAACTTGCTGGATACTTGGAGAGACTTGTTTCCAAAGTCTTTTCTTCCTGTACTCTAGCTTTTTATAACAAACTTAGTTCATTTTACAACATGTTACATGTACATTGTTGTCATTTAGGTAAAAAGATAAAGCCATAATTGTAAATGGAGAAACATAAAAGGAAAATGTTAGGGGACCTCCACTTTTATTTTTGTGCTCTTTTCTCCTTTCTCTTCTTTTGTTTTATTTCCTGTTGTAATTTGCTAGTGTACTTAAAGTTTAAATCAAATAATGTTTGTTTTTACCTTGAGGTTGGGTGGCATCTCATGCTGACCATGTGCAAAGTAAAAGAGTGAAGGGTAGCTCCAGTTTGTGATTCCTCTATTTTCCAGTAGCTACTTCAAGAGTTAAGGAGTAGAACTTGTTGGTAGTTCCTTTATTAATTTATTATATTTAGAAAAAAAAGTCGTATGAAAAAGTTGTACATTTGGGGCTGGGGATGTGGCTCAAGCGGTAGTGCGCTCGCCTGGCATGCGTGCGGCCCGGGTTCGATCCCCAGCACCACATACCAACAAAGATGTTGTGTCTGCCGAGAACTAAAAAAAATAAATATTAAAAAAAATTCTCAAAAAAAAAAAGTTGTACATTTATCCCCGAGTTGGTCTTGTTTTTGTCAAAAAATTGACAGTTAATGAAGTGTGTTGTTAGCATTTAGATGTCCTTTTTCAGCTGAAAATTGCTTTGCCCCTAAAGCATATCACAGGATACTACAGAGATCACATTACTTTTGTACCATAATCATTGATATTTTGATTAATTCTAAGGTTTGTAATATTGAGCTTCGAGAGGCACTGTGGTTTACTTAAAGTCTAAAAGGAAGTTTGTATCATTGTCATATTCCCATCCTAGTGTTCATTCATAGTATCTTCAGTATGACTTCTAAATCTTGAATTATTGTTAGTATGTAACTCTATTTTTCTACAATTATAACTTGAAACACATGAATTGTAGAAAACTTAGAATGCTTATGGGCATGAATTTAATGTAGCTTCATATATTAGTAATTATATAACTTGCGTGGGTAGTTGTCTATAGCTCAGTACAAAGAATAACATTAATGATAGAAATAAAAAATAGGAAAAGATTATAGGAATATGGATAATAGTTATCTTTTAGTAGTTAAGGTTTGAGATCCTCCTATATTAGCAGCTTTATTTGATGCTTTGCAGAAAGACTCTCACAACTCCTGAAGAAATTATTTGAAACTCAAGAATCTGGTGACCTCAATGAAGAATTAGTTAAGGCTGCTGCCAATGGAGATGTTGCTAAAGTGGAAGATTTGCTAAAAAGACCAGATGTGGATGTGAGCATTTTAAAAATTATTTTGAAGCATACACAAAAAATAGCATAGTTATAATGAATCTTATATTCAACAGTTATTAAGATTTTTCCTTGTTAGATAATTAAGATTTTGCTACATGTGTTTTATCTATTCCCCTTTTCTTGTTTCTCTAAGGTATTTTAAAGCAGGCATCAGGCATTCTTCAGTGTGCACTTAAAAAAAAATTGACATTTTCTTTTGTATTTTATGACTGACAAAACTTACATATAGTTTTTTTTAAGTGATAATTGTTTTGGGAAATGTTAGTGAATTTTCTCCATGTAAATGTGATTATATGACATCTTTTAAATATCTTTTAGAAAATTTTACAAATAGTTTCTTTAATCTCTTTTTAAAACATTTAATCTAAACTTGTACCCTTCTGTAAAAGTTGACTATTTCACTATTTATAATGTAGATGAATTAGAGGTCATGTGTTTGTAACTCTTCATAAGTGATGCTATAGTTTTTCCATTCACGCAAGCCATGTTTTACTTATTTTTTACAAGACACATATATATTTTTTACCCACCTCCCCGCAAGCCCTGTTCCTCGTCAACCTTCTGAGCCTGTGGAGTGAACCCAAAGGAGTGGAGCTCAAGCCATATTTTAAATGGGCTGTTTTCATTCTAGCATAGTTATTGTACTTTTGTTTAGTTATTGGTTACATGCTGGTACCAGTATTATGTTCAGTGCCAGAGGTTGTAGTTGATGTGGCAATTTGAATCATCCTCACTGTGTTATAAGGGCTGTTTTGCCACCTCTTTGTATTTTTGTTTGATTTTAAGTATGCTAGAGTTAGAAGATGAGAGCTATAATTTAAAAGTATTACTTTCTTTTCCAAAACTCTTGTGACATTTTAGCTTTATTGGATAGATATCAATTACAGCAAAACAATAATTTTTCAGATTTGTAATAAGTCACAAATAATTTTTTGATGTTGAAATTTCAAATTTTTTTTTAAAGATAGAGTCAGATTTCCTTTATATTCTGTCAAGCACATTTACATTTGTTATACTTAATTTTGTCTTCATTTAATTATTAAAGTTCTTGTAAAAATATTTTAGGGCATGCTTTCATATATATTCTTTATTTGATCAATAAATCTAACTTGTTTTTCTCTTTTATTTAAATTATTTTTTTAACTAATACTAAAATCATAAAAATCACACATTTTAGTTGGGTACCATGTAAAATTTTTATTAATGTATGCATTTTATAATGTTTAAATTAGGGTAAGCAGGGCTGGGAATATGTGTAAAGCCCTGGGTTTGATTCCCCAGTACCACCAAAAATGAATATAAACACCTGTCTCCTAAACAGTTATCATTTCTTTATAAAGGAAACATTTCAAAATCCTTTCCTCTAGCTTATTGAAATATCCAGTTATGTTATTTTTTTCTGTAGTCATGCTATGGTATAATAGCATATTAGAACTACTTCTGTCTGTAATTTAATAACCATTGATCAGCCTTTCCTCACTCCTTTCTCCCCGTTACTCTCCCATCCTCTGGTAACCATCATTCTATTCTCACATGAAATCATGTGGTATGTCTTTTGGTATTTTGATAGGACTTGCATTTGTAGATTGCTTTGGGTGTTGTGTTAGTTAGTTTGTACAGTGACCAAAATACCTGAGAAAAAGAAAGAAGAAAATATTTATTTTAATTTACAGTTCGAGAGGTTTTAGTGTATGGTTGTCTGACTCCATTTCTTCTAAGGCAAAGTAGAAATGGTGGTGGAGGAAAGCTGTAGAGAGAGGAAGGGGATAGGGACAAAGGTATGCCTCCAAGGACCCATTTCTTCAGCTATGTCCCATCTCCCAGTAATTCCATCAAATTATTAATTCAATGATGAGGTCAGAGCCCTCATGATCCAGTCATTTCGCAAAAGCTTCAGCCTCTGAACATTGTTGCATCGGGACCAAGCCTTCCACACATGAGGTGTTCTGGACATTTCATATCAAATCTTAAATGTAGTATGGATATTTTAAGAGTGTTGATTCGTCCCATCTATGAATATAAAATGTCTTTCTGTACTTTTGTGTCCTCTTCAATTTCTGTCATCAAATTTAACTTCTTTGGTTAAATTTATTCTAACCCTAACACTAACCCTAATCCTAAACCTAACCCTAAATCTATTTTATTTATTTATTCAGTTAGTTAGTAACTGGGGATTGAACCTAGGGGCATTTAATCCTCAGCCCTTTTTATGTTTTATGTTGAGACAGGGTCTCGCTAAGTTGCTCAGATCCTTGCTAACTTGCTGAGGCTGGCTTTGAACTTATGATTTTCCTGCCTCAGCCTCCTGAGCTGTTGGGATTGATTACAGTCATGTGCCACTGTGCCCTGCCTATTTATTTTTTGTAGCTATTATAAATAGAATTACTTTCACGATTTCTATATCAGATAATTTACTATTGATGTATAACAATGCCATTGATTTTTGTATGTTCATTTTGTACCCTCTAACTTTACTGAATATATTTACAAGTTCTAATAGTTTTTTGGTGGAGTCTTTGGAGTTTTCTATATAAAAGATTATGTCTTGTGCAAAGAGCTACAATTTGTTTTCCTCTTTTCCAATTTGGAGGCCCTTTACATCTTTCTCTTGTTTGATTGCTTTGGCTATAACTTAAAGTACAATGTAGAATAAAAGTAAGGAAAGGACTGAAATTTCATTCATTTGCCTAGTATGTGCAAGTGCCTGAATTCAGTCACCAGCACATAGGGGAAAAAAAAAAAGCGGCAGAAGTGAGCATCTTTATCTTGTTCCAAATCTTAGAAATCTTTCAGTTTTTCTCCATTCAATATAATGTAAACTGTTGACTTATGGTATACAGCCTTTGTTATGTTGAGGTATGTTCCTTCTATACCTGATACATTCAGAGTTTGCATCATGAATATGTTGAATCTTAACAAATGCTTTTTCTGCAGCTGTTAAAATAATAATACAGTTTTTGTTCTTCATTTGTTGATGTGGTACGTCAGAATTGTGTATTTTGAACCATTCTTGCATCCCTAAGATGAATTCCAATTGATTATGATTTTATTGCTGTTGGATTTAATTTATGGGTATTTTGCTGAGGATTTTTTGCACATATGTTCAGCAAAGATATTGGCTTGTAGCTTTCTTGTCTTTTGTTGTCCTTGTCTAGTTTTTATATCAGGGTGTTTTCCTCATAGAATGAGTTAAGATGAATTTCTCCTCTTTAATTTAAGTAGTAGTTTAATAATTTAAGAAGAATTGCTGATCTTGGTAGAATTCAGTACTGAAGCAAGTCATCTGTTTTTGGTTTTTCTTTGTTGGGAGATGTTATTACTGATTCAGTCTTGTTACATGTTACTGGTCTGTTTAGATGTATTATTTCATCATGACTCAATCTTGGGTGAATATGTCCAGGAATTTATCCATTTCTTTTAGGTTATCAAATTTGTGAACATATAGTTGTTCATGATAACCTGTCAAGATCTTTTGTATTTCTATGGTATCAGTTGTAATGTCTCCTTTTTCATCTCTGACTTTATTTGAATGTTCTCTTTTTCTTAGAAGTCTTGATAAGTTTGTCTATTTTATCTTTCTGAAGAACTACCTCTTGATTGCCTCGATCCTTTGTATTGTTTTAAGTCTCAAGTTTAATTTATTTTTGCTCTTATCCCTATTATTTCATTCTTTCTATTCATTTTGCATTTGGTTCCTTGAGGTACAGTGATAGGTAGTTTATTTGAATTCTTTCTTCTTTTTTGATATTAAGTTTTTATTGTCATAAACATTCCTGATAATGCTTTTGTCCTATCCTATAAATTTTGATATAGTGTATTTCCATTTTCATTTGTTTCAAGAATTTTAAAATTTGCTTAATTTCTTCCTTGATCCATACGTTGTTCAAGAGTAAATTGTTGAATTTTCACATTTTGTATAGACTTCTTGTTGTTGATTTCTAGTTTTGTTGTGCTGTGTTTGGAAAAAAACTCAATGATTTCACTCTTAAAAATTTGTTGAAATTCTTGTAGGTCTATCAAATGATCTATTCTGGAGAATGTTCCATGCGTTGTTAAGAAGAATGTATATTATTTTGTAGTTGAATGAAATGTTCTGTCGATGTCTGTTGGGTCCATTTGCTCTGGAATGCATTTTAACTCTGTTTCTTTATTTATTCTTCTGTCTATTGCTGAAAGTGGGATGTTAAATTCTCCTATTACTATTGTCAATATTCTGTTCTTTTTTATTTGGTGAACTGTGGTTTGACCCCAGTGTCTTGTGCCTTCTAGGCACATGCCTCACCACTGAGCTACCTTCTCAGCCCCCCCCCCCATTATTGTATCAGTGTTTATCTCCCATCAGGTCTGTTAATATTTGCTCTAGCCGGGTGCAGTGGCATATACCTGTAATTCTAGCGACTCGGGAGACTGAGGTAGGAGGATTATGAATCCAAACTCAGCCTCAGCAATTTATTGAGGGCCCTAAGCATTTCAGTGAGACCCTGTCTCTAATAAAATAATAAAAAAGGGCTGGGGATGTGGCTCAGCAGTTAATCGTCCCTAGGTTCAATCCTTGGTATTCCCCCCACCCCACAATTTGCTTTATATAGTTAGATTCTCTTCTTTTGAGTGCATATGTAATTATAATTGTTATTTTCTTTTTTTGAATTGACCCCTTAATGATTATATAATGACCTTCCTTGTTTCTCTTTATTGCTTTTGATTTAGTCTATTTTATTTGATAAAAGTGTGGTTATTTCTTCTTTCTTTTGGATTCTGTTTGTGTGGAATATCTTACTTCATCTGTTCACTTTGAGTCTGTGTATGTCTTTAGAGGTAAAGTGAATTTCTTATAAGCAACATGTAGTTGTGTCATTTTTATCTATTTAATCACTCTTTGTCTCATAATTAGAGGCTTTAGTCCATTTCCATTATTTTAAAGTAATGTTTTAACAATGTCATACATACCAAAAATAGTTCTATAAGGTTTATTATGAAAAACAATATGCCTTCCTTCACACCCTTGTTTTCTCATTATTTAGAGGCAACTATTTTGAACTTGTAATTGATATTCTTCATATTTACCTCCTTGTCTTCTAATATCATGCTTTATTATTATTTCTTGATTTTCTTTCCTTTTTTTGATTTTGTGCTATAAATTCTCTTTTCTGCTGTGGAACCTGAGGATTCTGTTTCCTTTCACCACCTCCAGTCTACCCCCACCACAACCATACACACACTTTCCAGCTTCTTCATATGGTTATAGTATATTATAATTTTGTATATTCTGTAAATGGTATTTATATTTGAGCTGTGGAGTATGCTAGAATGTATTTTTCTACACAACCTTTTTTTTCATTATAGTTCTTACTAGTCCTTTTTAAGAAATAAAGATATAAATTTTAATGCAGTGAAATCAAGTTGAGTTTTGACAAATGCATACAGCCACTTAATCTATACCTGTATTAAGATGGAGAACGTTTCCTTTATTCTAAAGTTTCACTGTGATCTGCCCCAGATCCTGTTAACCCCATACATAATTTTAAAAGTTTTTCATTTTTATCTATATTTTTATTATTAATTCCTCCCCAAATTTCTAATTGTTCGTTTTCATATTATGACATCAGGTATATCAGATATTTGTTTCATATTCTGAGAGAAATTTCTTTTAGTGCCTTCTCACATTCTCTACCTATAAGTTGTCCTCTTTATGTAGTCCCTGATGGCTTCCCTTCCCCTCTTTCTTGTGTTATATGTCTTGTTTTGTGTGTTTATTGTCTTTCCATGTTTACTGTATTTTTTCTAAGGTATAGATTTTAGTGGCTTTTGAGAAAGAATATGTGGAAAATACATCTTTCATGTCTTGATTTTTTTTTTCCCCCCAACCTCACAGTTATGTTTGTATGGGGATAGAATTCTGAGTTAGAGATGATTTTCCTTCAGCATAATTTCAGAATTGCTGTTGAGAAGAATGAAGCCATCCTAATTCCTAAGTTTTCAATATTCTGTTAGTTTTAAATTTCAAGGCTTTTCCCTCTCTTTATGTTCTCATTCATGCCATCATGTTGGTATTTAAAGTGTGTATTATACTTTCTCTTCTTATTGAGTAGACTGTTGGTAAGGTCCTTTATATATTTTTTGTCCCTGCTAAATTTTTTATCTCTTCTAAGTTATTCTTTTCTGTTTGTTTTGGGCCTAGTTTTTTCATGTCAGAGCCCCTCCTTGGTTGTCTGGTGATCTTTGGTTGTCCCTTCTTCTCTAAGAGTGGGCATGTAAAGCCTTATTTGAAAGTTCCTATGTCTGTGAATGGGTTTGTCAACCCTTGACTTAACTGTGGGTTTGTCAGCCCTTGACTTAACGTTGCTCTGGGCCACTCCTGGTATAGTTGTTAGGGTTTTTCTGTGGAGCTGATCTGAATCCCCAGAAAATTGTCTTCATTCTCTGGCATAGAGGGTATAGACCTAGCTTTCAGACTTGAGAAGTGGTCCTGGTTTCTCTGCTTTCAGCTTGTAAATACTTACATAAAACTTATAGAGTTTTAAGTGCCAGGTTTCTAAAGGATAGAGCCTCTACCCTTTTCATGGGACAAATATTCAGGTTTCTGTCCAGTAAGGGAGGAGTAGTAACTAAGCTGTCTGTTATGGGGAAATCCAGGAATAGAAGTACCTTTTTCTTTTGGTACTGGGAATTGAACTCAGGGGCATTTGACCACTGAGCCACATCCCCAGCCCTGTTTTATATTTTATTTAGCGATAGGGTCATACTGAGTTGCTTGTACCTCAGCATTGCTGAGGCTAGCTTTGAACTTGCCATCCTACTGTCTTAGCCACCTGATCCAACCGCTGGAATTAAGGCATTCACCACTGAGTCCGTCATAAGTGCTTGCTCACTCGCTCTCTCTCCCTCCCTCCCTCCCTCCCTCCCTCCCTCCCTCTCCCCCTCCCTTCCCCTCCCTCCCTCCCTCCCCTAGGGCCTTGTGCATGAGAGGCAGGCACTCTACCAACTGAGTTATTTCCCCAACCCAATAAGTGCTTTTATATATATAAATGTTATAGATGGACACAATATCTTTATTTTTTATTTTTATGTGGGGCTGAGGATTGAATCCCAGGCATGCAAGGCAAACGCTTTACCACTGAGCTACAATCCCAGTTCCCCCATAAGTGCTTTTTAAACACACTCTTGACCAGTGCTTTTGTGCTTGGTGTCTACCACATTTATTCCCAAAGCCAGAAGTATTTTGCCATCAGTTTTGAGCCTTTTGGAGTTCATTGTTCAAAGAATTGCTTTTAGGTTTTTCTCTAGGCAGGTTTTTTTGGTCTGCTAAAGTTAGTTCTATTTGTTCATTGTCTTTCAAGATTTCAGTGTAGATAGTGCATAAGTCTATGTGTGAGCATGTCTTTGTGCATGTGTATGCATTTCCTGTTGAGTTTATCTTAGTTGGTTGAAGCTTAAAAGAAAAAAGTCTTTAGTAAGATGTTAGTGAATAACGTAAATGTGACTCATCTTTTAACTTAATATAAGAAGAATATATTTTTAAAAAGTCTCATGGTATTTAAAAAAAAAAAAACATGTTGTCTTGCCTCATATCCACCAGTGTACTTTCACCTCTTGGAGTGGTTTTTTTTTCTTTTTTTTAAACTTTGTTTTCTTATTTGTTCTTAGAATCTTCCTTTTGATTTTCAAATGAATTCTTAAATATCTTTTAAGTGAATTTTTTCCTAGAGTTTTTTTCTCCTTTAATTTGTTCTTCCAGAGTAATCTTTTCTTAAATTTGAATTAATTATTCTGTTTTGTTCATTTTGTGTTTTTGAGTCTTTCTCAGCCCTCTCTCTGATCATTGGTTTTTTATTTGTATCTGAATAAGACATTAAAAAACTGATGGATAACTCCTTACCTCACGGGACTGACTGACTGACTTTGCATTATGATGATTGGAGGTTTGGGGATCTCCAAATGCCATCATTTAGGGGTTTATTCTCTATGGCTATTTAGTATAGAGCTAAGAAACCTTTTTTTCTGTCAGGGCTGGGCCTAGAGTATGACTGTTGTACATCAGACTTAGGTCCAGTGTCCCTCTTATGAGCCCTCTGATGTGCTTGTATTTGTAGGTTTTCATTTTGTCTAGAGGGTCTCGTGGTTTTTATGCTTGGCTTTCTCTTCCCTATAAAGTCAATTATTGTTCCTCTTTCTGTTTTCTTTGTTTCATAAGTGTCCCCCCCCCCATGTTAATTCTACCTTTCCCTTTGTCCTTATGGACTTTACATTTTAAATTATTAACTGCCATTAAGTGTGGTCTCAGGAGAGATAGGATATAAATGTGTGGCCAGGCTACCATCCTTAGCTATCTTTTGTTGTCAGATGGATGAGAATGAAAGAGGTAGAATAAAGAATTGTACTTGGCTTGGGGAATGTTCATGGGTAAGTTTTGCATGTACATAGCATCTGAAGATAAGGATAGGTTGGAAATTGCGGCTTTATAATACAATAATTATATATAGTCACCTTGCCAACTCATTTATGTTTGTCTACAATGGTATGTGGTATATTTGTTGAATTGAATTTATTTATTTTTTAGTGGCTAGTAACTTTTCTAAAAGTTTTTCATTCACCTTGCTGATTTTTCCATTTAACCACAGTCTGAGATTTAATAATACAAAAAGAAGTGTACTCTATATACAAATCTAACTTAACTTTCCTCCCCCTTACCTCTTTTCTTTCTTCTTTACAGTCTGGCTAAACAATTCTTTCATGAGCTCTTAGAATAATGAAACTTTAATTTTAAAAAAATGCTTGCTTTCCTTCTCTAAATTAAAGAGTGAGTTTCTGTTGGGCTGGGGATGTGTCTCAGTGATAGAGCGTTTGCCTGACATACATGAGGCCCTGGGTTCAACTCCCCAACACCACAAAAAGAAAAGATATAAAGAGTTTCTGGTGATCTCTCTTATAATATATGGAACATCAAATTATTCTTATGGAATTGTACAATAAACAAGTTTTTAAACCTATACTATATGTATATGTTGGTTCTTTCTTTCTGGTTTGTGACATTTGTTCATTTTTTTTTTTTTTTAAGGTAAATGGGCAATGTGCTGGCCATACAGCTATGCAAGCGGCTAGTCAAAATGGACATGTTGATATTTTGAAGTTACTTCTGAAGCAAAATGTGGATGTAGAAGCAGAGGTAATTAAACTAAGCTTAAAAATATTTTAAGTAAAAATTATCTTAGAAATAACTCTATATGAGATGGATTTTCATTTTCAAAATTTAATACTTACCTAATACTTTTCTGATTGAAAATTAAATTTTAATAAAAGCTAGCTTAAAGTATTTATTGGTTTTCTATGATTCTTCCAATATTTTAGGAATAGCCCTAGGTGAAAAGAGGATTTGTATTTCCTGCTAATCTGGTGGAACCATTGTGCTATTGGGAGCCCAGTTGGGTTCACCTAAGAATCATACTAGGAATGTTGAGGGAAGGGGAACACAGACATTCGTGAATCAGAGTCTTTCCTGATCTCTGTGATACTCAGAGATAATTCTTTGTTTTTTGTCATAACTGAATTTGTGTTTGTGTAGACTTCTGGTTTCTTGACCTTAATGTGAATCTTTGAAAGTTACAGTGCATGCTTATCACTGTACATATATACATACATTTAACTTAGAGTTTAAAAAAAATATATATATATAAAAATAAAATTTATTTATTTATTTGGTACCGGGGATTGAATTCAGGGGCACTTGACACATCTCCAGCCCCATTTTGTATTTTATTTAGAAATAGGGTTTCACTGAGTTGTTTAGTACCTTGATTTTGCTGAGGCTGGCATTGAACCTCCTTCTGCCTTAGCCTCCCAAGCCACTGGGATTACAGGCGTGTGCTACCATGCCTGGCGAGAATATTCTTATAAGAGGAAAATAAATATATCTTATTATCTTTGGAATTTCAGTTGAGAATCTGTATGTATGTATTGGATAAAGGGTAGCTTGCTTTGTTAATTATAACCTCATATTAAATATATACTAGGATTATATTTGTTTCAGTGTCATGCAAAATTATGTAGAGTAAGTCAGAAGCTAGCAAATTTAGCTTAGGCAGGATATTACAGTTCTGTCCAAAAGCTTCTCCCAATCTGGTGGACCAATCTATTTTTATGAATTAAAAAACCTTAAGACACACATTTGAAAAGACACACATTTCTAGTCATATGTTCCTTTTGCTTTTTTTTTTTTTTTCCTTCTTTAATTGTATGTATTTTTGAATTGTTTACAGCTCAAAAAGAGCCTATGGTGTTTCAGAGGTAAACAATTCATCTTGCTTGGAATTATCTGTTGCCCAAAAAGACCTGAATTTTAAATTAGCACATTAGAAATCTATGAACTACATAATAGTTTTATTACTGTAATATTTTTATGAATGAGATATATAATTTAATTTTTCTTTTGCAGTAGTTTTTTTAGTTGCATGTTTCTTGGATGTAAATTTATGAATTTAGAACCTAAATGTGTGTTCTAAGAGTTTCTTTTGATGGTACAGTAAAGGCTTACGTTAATTTTAGCATTTTGTAAGTGGAAGGCAATTAAATTTTTTTTTGTTGTTGTTTTACTTTGATTTGGGAAAATGGAGTGACGTTTACTGACTGAATATCTCATTTTTAAAAATTTAATGAATCCAAAAACTGCAGTAACAAAAACTACTAAAATACCAAGCCCTTCTGATTATAGAGGTTAACAAAATTACATTCCTTTTTGCCTTATTTTTTAAAAAGTATGTTTTCTGATTCAGAAGTTAATTACTACAACTGCCCATTGATTTATAAATCTAGAGGTTTCTGTTCACATGAGAGCCTCTGCAGAATGAGGTGCACCTATAGAGTTGGGAATGAAATTGGCATTCTTTTTCAAGAGTAGATTTTCTTTCCTACGTAATTGAATTCATATATAGAACAAATGGTTAGTTAATGCTGTGAACATGTAAGATTGATGTTGACATGAGGATTAGTAGCCAGATGTTTGTAAATAATTTGTACCATACTCCTCATTTAGATTTCCATTCTGTACATTTTCTGTTTAAAAAACCATTGTAGACCTAATTTGTAGAAATAGAGTGGAAAAGGGATATTTACCTGTCAGGTTAAATTTAATGACACTTTTTTTTTAATTGATTTTATTTTTTTAAATACACGACAGCAGAATGCATTACAATTCTTATTACACATAGAGCACAATTTTTCATATCTTTGTATATAAAGTATGTTCACGCCAATTCATGTCTTCATACATGTACTTTGTTTTTTTTTTTTGAATTACAATTTTTATTACACATATATACCACAATTTTTCATATCTCTGTTTATATATAAAGTTTGTTGACACCCAATTCGTGTCTTCATATAAGTACTTTGGATAATGATGTCCATCACATTCCACCATCCTTGCTAATCCCCTGCCCCCCTCCTTTTCCCTCCCACCTCTCTTCCCTATCTAGAATTCATCTGTTTCTCCCATGCTCTCCCTCCCTATGAGTCAGCCTCCTTATATCACAGAAAACATTCGGCATTTGTTTTTTGGGGAATTCGCTAACTTCATTTAGCATTATCTTCTCCAACGCCATCCATTTACCTGCAAATGCCATGATTTTATTCTCTTTTATTGCTGAGTAAAATTCCATTGTGTATATATGCCCCATTTTTTTTTTAATCCATTCATCCACTGAAGGGCATCTAGGTTGGCTCCACAGTTTAGCTATTGTGAATTGTGCTGCTGTAAACATTGATGTGGCAATTAAACGCCTATCTCTCACCATGCACAAAACTTAACTCAAAATGGATCAAGGACCTAGGAATTAAACCAGAGACTCTGCGTCTAATAGAAGAAAAAGTAGGCCCTAATCTTCATCATTCGGGGTTAGGCTCCAACTTCCTTAAGAAGACTCCTATATTGCAAGAATTGAAACCAAGAATCAATAAATGGGATGGAATCAAACTAAAAAGTTTCTTCTCAGCAAAAGAAACAATCTGTGAGGTGAACAGAGAGCCTGCATCCTGGGAGCAAATTTTACCCCCACACATCAGATAGAGCATTAATCTCTAGGGTATATAAAGAACTCAGAAAGCTAAGCACCAAAAAAATCAAATAACCCAATCAACAAATGGACCAAGGACCTGAACAGACACTTCTCAGAAGAGGATATACAATTAACAAATATATGAAAAAATGCTCAGTATCTCTATCAATTAGAGAAATGCAAATCAAAACTACTCTAAGATATCATCTTACTCCAGTTATAATTGCAGTTATGAAGACAAACAACAATAAGTGTTGGCGAGGATGTGGGGAAAAAGATACATTCATACACTACTGGTGGGACTGCAAATTGGTGCAGCCAATATGGAAAACAATATGGAGATTCCTTGGAAATCTTGAAATGGAACCACCATTTGACCCAGCTATTCCTCTCCTTGGACTATACCCGAAGGGCTTAATGACACTTTTTAATGACACTAACTCAAAGAGGAAAAACTGCATTTCAAAATTGAATTAAAATGTAAATACAACTGATGGCCCAAGATTAGAACAAAAATTCATGAAAGTCTCATTTTTTTTCTAGGATATAAGAATTAACATAGTCTATTAGACAGCACTATAGTTTGTTTTAAGTAGTAGTTCTCACTCAGGGGTATTTTTTTCCTACAGGGTAACTTTTGGAAATGTCTGGAGACTTGTTTGATTGTTACACTGGGTGGGAGTAGGGGATTTACTACTTAAATCTATTGGTTGCAAGGTAAGATTGATACTGAATATCCTACAGTGTGCAGGATAGCTCTCACAGCAAAGAATTACCTGGCCTAATATGTTGATAGACATAAAGTTAAGAAAATAGCTAATTTTGCAAGTGCACTTAAATTTGTGATTCACTTGCCAAGTTTAAAAAGTAATTTGTTTTTATTAGTCTTTTTATTATTGAAATTTTAAGCACTTGGAAAAATAGAATAGTACAGTGAACCCTGTGTACCCATTACCCCATTACTCTACTTTAGTTATTATTTTTTTGAAAATCTTAACTCCAGCCCCCACTTCAGTTGTTATTAATGACAGGTTTTATTTTATCTATATCTTTTACTTTATTTCCTGCACTGAATTATTTTGAAACACATCCAAATATCATTATTTCATCTAGTAAATATTTTAGTATGTATTCTAAAATATAAGGAGTCTTTTATAAACATTAGCATACCTTTTATCACACCTAAAAATGATAATTAATGTTTATTTTTAAAAATACAATTTTATTAAATTTTTTTGGAATACAATTTTATAACGTAAAACCGAGAAGGAAAAGGAAATGGCCTTTCATCTTTGGTTAGCTCATTCTGTAACCTTTTATTTTTTTCACTTGCTTTAGGAAGTGAGCTCAACATGCTATAGATTGGGGTCTATAATCTATAGACAACAGACATAATCCAAAAATACATTGTAAATGTATTTAGAAATATATATATATATTTTAGTTGTAGATGGACACAATACCTTTATCTATTTATTTATTTATTATGTGGTGTTGAGGATCAAACCCAGTGCCTCACACATGCTAGGCAAGTGCTCTACCCCTGAGCCACAACCCCAGCCCCTAAAAATGTACTTTTGAAAAACAGCACAACCATTCACTAATGTATTGTCTATGACTGCTTTTTGCAGCAGTTGCAGAGTTAAGTAACTACTTAACAACAAAACCTAAACTATACATACTTTCCAGCCTTTTATAGAAAAGTTTGCTAGCACTCTTATTTAGATGACTGCTTCACTTTTTCAGTTAATTTAAGCTGTTATCAAACTAAATTATGTAGGATATATAGGATTACATTTTTTCCCTATTTCTTTTTCTTAGGGAAAACTCAGAGCTATTAAGGAAAGTTGATTGTCTCCAGGTATGACCTACTGAGTACCGTAGGATTGTATTCTGTGTCCTCCTTTATAATGTATAGGTAAAGGCATCAAGGACTGTGAGAGCTTAGGTATGTTGATAATAGGTGAGCTAATTTTGGATCTGCCAGGGACTCGGTTTTTTGTTGTTTTTTTTAAAATAATAGCAAAGGTGTGGAGGTTTGGATGGATGACCACTTTAAAAACGTGCCTTTTTAAATGTTTTCACATGATACAAAAATATGCTTAGGGAATAATAATAGACTTTGTCATATAACCTGAATTTTAATTGTGTTTTTGCAGCTAGAAAAGTACTGGGCAAAAAGTTAATTGGTAAAAGATTGAGTTTCCCCATTTGTGATAAAGAGTTGCAATGTAGATTAAGAGACATACTTATGATATCATTTATACAACACCGTAGGAATTTAATGTATTAGCATTACCTGTGTTTGACTGTTCTTAGTAAACACTTCTTTCCAGCTGTCAGAAGTAGTGCAGTTTTTCAAGAAACAGATGCTTCTGTTTGATTTTTCTCATCTCATTAATGAAAACAAAATGGCAAAAACAGTTTGTTTTTTTTTTAAATGTAAAACTGAGAAGGAAAGGGCAGTTGGGGCTTCAAGATTGACCAGTTTTAAATTCTTTTTTTAAAAACACAAATCAGGATTCAAAATAATAACCAGTGAAATGACTTTAGGTGTACATAGTTTCCAGGTACACATGTTCATTCAAGTTGCTATTAGAGACCTCCCCAAACCTAAGAAAGCCAGTGCTGGTAAAAACATGGAATGTTAAAACATAGATGAGAGGAGAAGGGAAGTGTATCACAGGGTGAGAGAGAGACAGAGGTAGATCAGATGTTGAGAGAGGAATCAAGAGAGCCTAGAGAAACCAGACTTCCTCTTTTATAACAACATGATCTCTTGGGAACTAATTCACTTCACTGAGGCCTGCATTAATCCCTTTCATGAGGGTGGCACCCCTGGCTGAATTACCTTCCCATCTCTTAAAGCTCATTTACTTGTCAATATGGTATCAAGGAGCAAGCTTTCAGCACATGAACCTTTGGGGGACAAATCATATGCAAACCACTGTAGTCTCAGGAGATTAAAAAAAGATAAACATCATGCATAGTATCTTTTCTGACCATAATGGGATAAAGTTAGAAATCAGTAACAGTAGGAAACATAAGTAAATCTAGTAAGATTTTCTTTTTAATTTTTATTTATTTTTTTAGTAGTAGAGAGACTTAAAGATTTTTAAACATCAGATTTGTGTTTTACAGAGGATTTTGCCTTGGATGTGAAAAATAGTTTGGGGTAAGAATGCAGTGGATGCAAGGTGAGATTAGTTCAGATAAATAAGAGTGAAGGTCTGAATTTGTGATAGAGTTGGAGAAGAAAATAGTTTGAGCATCATTTGAGGAATAAAAGCTACAGATTGTGGTGAATGAATATAGACACTCAGAAGTAGTAGATGAATATGATTTATGGATGCTGATTTTGTTGATCATATGGTCTGTGGTTCTGTCAGCCAAGATAGCAAGGACTGGTGCAAGAGTAGAATTTTGAGGGTTGAGAGGAGAAGGGAGCAGAAGAGTAGAAATCAGTTTTATTTAATTTGTGGCTGTTTTACAAACTTTTGGATATAGCCTTGTGGAGGTCACTTTTACCCTTGTCCTGTGTAATTCTCATTTGGTATCACTTAATAGTCACACTGTGGTAGGTTTATTTGGAGTACTTAAGATGGATTCAGAAGAAAGCAACAAGCCTTACAAATTAAGACCGCAGTACAACTCTAGTTTTCTAACATAGAAGAGAGACATGAAAATTAATTCAATTGGAGTATCCTATTATATATGCATATTCCATAATCTTTAATTTTTTTTACTGTATTTCTCTTTGACATACATATATATCAAGGTTTTAAACTTCTTAGTGTTTGATTTTACATATATAAACTGTTGATAGGAATTGCAAAAAGTGGATCAGTAATGGTTTTCTAACAACCATAAATATATTGTAGCTTCAAAAATAGTTACAATTTTTAGGCTATCAGTGTTAGTAGATTGATATTCTTTTTTGTTGTTTTGTTTCACATTATTGGGGATTGAACCAAGGGCCTCATATATGCTAGCCAAGTGTCTACCACTGAGTCACATTCACAGTCAACATATATATTTTTTAGGTGTAGATGGACACAACACAACACCTTTATTTTTATATGGTGCTGAGGATCCAACCCAGGTCCCGCCTGTGCTAGGCGAGCGCTCTACCGCTGAGCCACAATCCTAGCCCAACAGTCAATATTTTTATTTTGAGTCAGCGTCTTAAGTTGCTCAGGCTGGTTTGAAACTTGTGGATCCTCCTACTTCAGCATCTTGAGTAGCTGGGATTCTAGTCATGTTCTACCTTGCCGGGCTGTATGTTATGTTTCTGTTTTTAATGGAAGGGTAATCATATGATAAACTTAAAATTTTTAACAGGAAAAAAAAAACATCCAGATTGGAGGTTGGAAAGATCTTAACTCTGAGATTCAGAGATAATTGTTGAGAGCCACAGCCGAAGGGGCCCCAGCAAACTTCCAGCTGCCGGCTGATGATTGGCTCACAGCGGCCCCAGCAACATCTAGCTGATTGGCTCCTGGGCCCCAGCAACATGTAGCTGATTGGCTCCTCTGCGGTGATGCTCATTGGACTGTTTCCCTGCCCTTTCAGACCACGGAGCTGCTCATTGGGGGACTTTTTGGCTCTGCCCACGTGACCCAGCCAATCGGCCTCAAGAGCAGGAGGATTGGGGGAGGTGAAAAGAAGCGTGTGGGAGAGAGAGGCTTGTGGAAAGCTGGTGGTGGCAGTTGAGGCTCTGAGGATTTTTCCTGAGAGGCTGTTTTGTTTGGCGTGTTTGGTTCTAAAAATAAAGTTAGTTTCTTTTGACAAGTGGCTTCTGATTGTGCCCAGCCAGACTGCGGCATTAATGAAATGTATAATGAGAGAGAGAGAGAGAGAGTATGTGTGTGTGTGTGTGTGGCGTGTGTATACTTATTTTTCTGGGATAATGTTTTTCTGAGATATTGCTGCTTAGGAAACACAAGAGTTGAATCTTAAATCTTTCATGTGGTTGTTTTCAAGTTCCTTTGTTCTTGATATTTATTTATTTATTTATAGTTGTAGTTGGATACAGTATCTTTATTTATTTTTATATGGTGCTGAGGATTGAACCCAGTGTCTCACATGTGTGAGGTGGGTGCTCTACCAATGAGTTACAGCCCCAGCCCTCGTTCTTGATTTATAGGCAGTAGAAACTCCTAAATTAATTCAGGTCAAAATACTAGTAAGGTAGAAATTTCCAAAGTCAAAGTTTTGCCTTTTCAAGAATGGCTGTTCAACTGTTATAGATTTCTACACAAGTGATTTTGCCTTCAATATGTGTTTGAGAAAATGAAGATAAAAAAATTTTGAATTCAGTAACTGTTTTGAATGATCTATTTGTTTGTTTTAATGTATTTAATCATAACAGTTTTTATCTGTGTTTATCTTTGCAAAGTAGTTCAGATGATCTTGGGTGACATGGATTTTCAAACCCTTTGCATAAACTAGGGAGTCCATCAGGGATTGGATGCATAGATTGGGAATCATGGCTCTGGAGGAAGTTTTAGAGCATGCCTGCTTGTGGGTATCAAAATTTGGGGTGTAGTATTGATATAAAGACATTACCCTTATCTGTATCTTCCCTATCTGTATCTCTCTAGGAAGGTAATGAGACTTCTTTTGGGTGGAACTAGATATATCACCTTCATGGTATATTTCAGCCTTTTTTTCCCTTTAAAAAAAAAAAAAACAACTGAAACTTTCCTGCCCTCTCTTCAGAAATATGCTTATTATAGAAGATATGGGAATTATATTTGATTTCTCTGAAAGAGTTTTAGCATTTTGGATATATGGAATTTGCAGTTTCATGCTTCATTTTTGTCTTTTAAAGGTGTTGAACTTTTTTTTTTTTGGTCCTCAAATATACAAGAGTATATGGTTACTACTTAGAGGTAACCAGTAATCACTGTTAGCATGTTAATGTATTTATCCCCTTAAAGCTAATTGAGATCACATTGTTTGACATCATTTTAAAAAATGACTCAACTAATTTAGTGTAATTTTTGTGTCATTAAAAAGTCTTGGGGCTGGGATTGTGGCTCAGCGGTGGAGCGCTCGCCTAGCAGGGACGGGACCCGGGTTCGATCCTCAGCACCACATACAAATAAAGGCATTGTGTTGTGTCCATCTACACCTAAAAAAAAAATTTAAAAAAAGTCTTTATAAAATGTTTTAAATGGCCAAAGAATTATGTAGTTTAACAGTTTCCTAATGATTTAGTATCATGGCTGATAAATTAGAAGCAGTGAAGGATTGGTGACTTAATTACTGGTCAAGTGTTTATGTATGAGATATTGATCTATGTTTATCATTTATCTTTGGAGATAACCACTGTTCAAGCCAGTTTCTAATTATTTTGTTGACTCCACTCTATTATTTCATTTTCCCAATTTAATCTGGTTCTTGATATGTTACTAAGCTTCAAGGTTTGTCTCTCTTTGTTAAATATCACTAATTCAGATTTGAACCTTAACATTTAGGATAAAGATGGAGATAGAGCAGTTCACCATGCAGCCTTTGGAGATGAAGGTGCTGTTATAGAAGTACTACACCGGGGTAGTGCTGATTTGAATGCTCGCAACAAGCGTCGACAGACACCACTTCACATTGCTGTCAATAAAGGTCATCTTCAAGTTGTAAAGACTTTATTGGACTTTGGTTGTCATCCTAGTCTCCAGGTAAGACTTTTAAAGAAATAATATTTCCAGGTATTGCCAGCATCCTATTAAAAGAAAGCACTCAGTTCTGTGGTAAGCACTCCTTTGTTACCTTTCTTTTTTTGTATAGCCAGTCACGATAAAGGATACTGGAGGCATAGAATGTCATAAAATTGGCAGCCATTCCTTCCTAGAAAAACTTTTTAAATAAGATGTCTCCCAAAGATTGGGTTTAGGTTGAGGGGTGCAGGTGAGAACTTTTTGAAAAATATCAACTTAGAGACATTAATTTAACTTTATTGATCATGACAGTGAATTTCAGCAGCATAAAATAAGCTATATTGTGCAATAGTTACTTCATAAACTTGAATAATCTTCATTGTAACTTAATTTATCTTAGGGTCTTGGTTTAGGTATTAGTCTAGTCTTTGGAGATTTTCTGATTTGGAAAATAGTGTTTCATGGTTGATTGACAGAAATGAACCTAGAAGTTGGCAAATTATTATCATGTACTGTTTTATTTTACTATTAAATTATTAAGCATTCATACCTTTTTTTTTTTTGTGACAGTGGGGAATTTTAGGTTTAAAGCAAAAATCACCTAAGAAATAATTCTTTCCAGCCACAGTTTAGCATCTAGATGAACTAAACCATATATATAAGGGAAATATAGTCTGTCTTTATGAAGTACTTAGTTCGGTTGTTAAAATTGCCCATCTTATGCATGCCTGTCAGGTTGAAATTTGGTATGAATGCTTAATAATTTAATAGTAAAATAAAAAAGTACATAATAATGATTTGCCAACTTCTAGGTTCATTTCTAGATTGTTTTCTGTCATACCTTTAACAGCACAGGCTTGAAATAGTGTGTTATTTTCCAATAAAGAATGGTATTTAAAACACTATTTGAATATGTACAAATTACTTTGTTTAAATTGGAAACTCATTGATTAAAACAAAAAGGGGAGAATCATTGAGATCTTAATCTGTTTGTAATTTAGATAATTCACAGCAGCCAGAGAATTTATAGATCTCAGAGAGGTAATAAAGAACAGAAGTTGTGGGAGTGAGAACCATTTTGATACTGACAGGTTCTAGGGTGTAGGCTTAGTGGTTGACAGGATTGGAAGATGGAGAAGGAACTGAGGTGTTGTGTTAATATGTTAAAGAAGAGGGAATTTATATCTATTGAACATTTTTGTCAGAAATTGGAGGCAAGGTTATGTAATGAGAGTGTGAGTTGGGGTTGAGGTAGAGAATTGAGAAGAACAGTGCTACAGGTTTGGAATAGCTGTTGTGGGCATCAGAAGGCAGTACAGAACAGGGACCTGTAGAAGCATATTTGATCATGTAAAGAGCTCATATCAAATTGAAGACTGCAAATTTTCAGTGTTAGTAGATACTGGAAGATAGACAGTAGATGGTTGGGTTGAACTTGGTGTTAGGAATCCCTATGTAGGTGGATGAATATATTGCCTGTATTGACAAACTTTTTCTGTAAAGAAACAGTATTATAGATTTTCATATCTTTTATATCTCTACTATATAGGTCAATCTTGTAGAATGAGGCAGGCAATTCTAGTAAAACTTAATTTACTGTTAAATTTTCCTTTATACTCGTGTCTGCTTTGACTTACGTAGTCTGTGATCTATTTTAACCATTTATCTTTGGAGATAATCTCTTCCCTGCCCTTTGAAAATACTTTGGTTTATGTTTCTCACATATCACTCCATTATATATTTGTCTCTGGAGCTCTGAAAAACTACTAATGTTTGGCTCTCACCCCCAGAGATTTAGTTGGTCTGGATAGCAGCCTGGTGGGCCTCAGGAGTTTTAAGAACTCCAAGCAGATTCTAATGTGCAGCCAACACTGAAAAACATTGATTTTAAACTCATTTTTATGGGGCCTGAAACTAGTGTAGGTTCAGTATAGAATTTTGGGGGTACAACAGTGAATGGTGTGACTTTATTTTAATGTATCTGTTTCTTACCTGCATTTACATGTTTAATATAGAGGATGATCACTTATTAATAATTGTTGGATATGGCCTCCATTTCTTTTTCTTTGTTTAATAGTTTTATATGTTACTGTTAGGCATAATGATTAATTGAAGGAGAACTAATGAAAGTCTTTTTAAACTTAAAATAAAAAGGATTCTGAAGGTGATACCCCTCTTCATGATGCCATAAGTAAGAAACGTGATGATATCCTGGCAGTTCTTTTGGAAGCTGGAGCAGATGTTACCATCACAAACAATAATGGATTTAATGCTCTACATCATGCTGCACTAAGAGGAAATCCCAGGTAAAAATGGCACCTTTTACTATTTTAGGTGCCACATAGAAATATTTCCCTATGCTTGGTTCTCTTTTCCCGAGACTGATAAGAAAATAATTTCTGCTAATTTTAGTATTTTATGTCATTTTAAAGGTCTGTATAGAGTATGCCATCGTTTAATAGATTAGTTTTATATTATTTATTTGGTTTTTAAAACTAATACAAATATCATGAAGTGATTAAATATATATTAAATATAGATATAAAATATCAGTAATACTGGCTTATGTCTAAAGGTTTAAAATGCATTTCATTTTGAGATTTTTGTTTCTTCAAAATCATTCTCAGGGTGTTCTCTCTTCCAGTATTATCCATTTGCATGGTAATTATTTTTTTAACTTGCAGCTAAATAAATATAAAATTATCTAATTTTTTATTAACAGTATAATCAATTATATATACTTGTAGTGTAGGTGAACCCTAGTCACTGTTAAAGTACTAGGTGTTGTACTGAAGAAAGGGTTTGCTGGTTAATATTTGAGAAAGTCTGCTTTTGGACAGTCATATTATTTATAAAGGACCTGCAAAGTCCCCAGAAAAGGAGCATGCTTTGCTTTGCTTAACTTTGAGATTTTTATGAATGTATTTTTAAGAACAAATTTACCTTAAGATACATTTTAGGAAATTCTGCCTTATTCTCCTTATATTTGAATCAAGCCTACATAGTATGACTGAGGAAAATGTTCACTTTGATAATTCTATCTATCCTGAATTCTTATTCTTTGGTTCCTGTTTTTACGTATGTTTCCTTCTAAGTTTTTGCCTTTTTTTTTTTTCTTTTAAAGCTTCTTAGGATCACCACTAGAGGGTGATCACAGAAAACAGAAGGATTTTATTGCTGTTGCTTGTTGATGTTCATAAGAGTGGGTATATAATATAGGATGAAATGAGTGACCATATTTTAGATATTGTCTTGAATTTTTTTATATTACAAATATTTTAACACTTCATACTTTTTCATGTGAAGGAGATAGAATACTATTATACGTTCTGTGCCCTTCAATTAAAATTGGTGATGATGATAATGATAGCACCTGCCTCTAAGAAGTACTTTACATATATTATCTTACTTAAGCCTTGATCCTTTCAGCAACACCCCTCCTCAGCCCTTTCAGTAGCATTTTGGGAAGAGATTAATATCCTTTTTTCATAGATGAAGATTGTAAGGATTATGAGGCTTATAGCAATGAATTTACTTATCCAAGATTATGTAGCTGATTAGAAGAACAGCTAGAATTCTAGCAGAGTGTGATTTTAGAAACATAGCTCTTAAAGCACTTTACTATTTTTATGATTTATGGTCTATATATGAGAGGAGGACACAAGGACAACAGATGATTTAACCACAAATGGTGTATAGTGCATCATTCCTCTTGCTACCTCATTGCTAAGGGTTCTTTGACTGCTCTCACTAATTTCAGTATCCAGTTCAAAAATTGTTTATTCTATGAATCTTTCCAATCCATTCCAGTCTTTCTATTCCCACTGTTGTTTACCTAATAAATTACTTATAATTTTTATTTAGACTATTACAGTATCTTTCTAAATATTCTTCTGAATTTAACTTTTCATACAGTTATCATTTTAAAAGCATAGATCCAATGACATCCCTTACTTGTTCTCAGTAGTTTCCTATTATACATAGTAAAATCTGTATACCTTAGCTTGGCATTTATATCCATCTCTGATATGTCTTGACCTGGACAGAATTTCTAACTTTTATCTGCCACTAGTTTAAGTTCTTTTGCCTACCTTGCCCTTTAGCTATTTTATATTTTACACTGTTTTCCTTTACTAAAAGATGCTAGTTGCTTTTTTCCTTTTTTTAAAAGCATTTCTATCATTGGAATGCACTTGCGCTCTCACTCTTTCTCTCTCTTCCTTTTATTGTGGCCATCTTTTCTCCAGCACCTCCTCGGTTTCATCATTTGCATTATTTTCTGTTTGTTCTTTATTTCCTTTTTCTGTATTGCATGTGCTATAATCTGCCTAATGCTATCTGTTACTATTGCATTTCTGTGTTTTCTTTTAAAATTGTGGGTGTTCATAGGCATCTGTATATCCTCTACAATGCTTGGAGTAAAATAAGCACTTAATAAATGTTACTCTTAATTTGACAGTAAGGACAGTATAAGATTTCACAAGATATTGTATGATTAATTATAGAATGCATTTTGTGTGGAAACTGTTGAATTCAAGTAGAGCAGTCACTTCAAATAAGAATGGTTAGAGTGCTGGGGTTGTGGCACAGTGGTAGAACTTTTACCTATCAAGCATGAGGCACTGGGTTCTGTCCTAGGCACCACATTAAAAAAATAATAATAAAGAAAGAATGGTTAGAAAGATATTTTATTGGGAGAATTTAGATTACAGTATTAAATCGTATTTTTAAAAATTTTTTTAGTTGTTGTTGACGCAATATCTTTATTTATTTATTTATTTATTTATTTATTTATTTATTTATATGTCGTGCTGAGGATGGAACCCAGGTTGTCACACGTGTTAGGCGAGCGTTCTTCTGCTGAGCCACAACCCCAGCCCCTAAACCATAAAGTATCAAACCACAAATTTTAACTAGAAATAAAAATGTTTTAGGAAACAAACATTTTTAAATATTTTGAGTTGTTACTTTTTTTTTTTTTTTTTAAGGTGCTGGGGATTGAACCCAGGGCCTTGTGCATTTGAGCCAAGCACTCTATCAACTGAACCCTCCAGTTGTTTCATTTTGATGGGGAGTAGGCATGGTATATTCAATAATGCTAGGCCTATGCAGAAGAAATATGTTTTCTTCTATTTCTTCAAGTATTCCCTAGAAAATAATTCTTGTCAGGTGACATTTCTTAAAAAAGGAAAAATGCTTTAATTCTATAACCAAGTGGTGTTTCAGTTAAAGCTTTGTGCCTTGTTTAATCCTCTGTAAAACATTTTAGGTAATTATGACTATAGGTTGATAGAGTGTGATTTTAGTTGAACACCAAGGAGCATCAGAAAATGGTACAGTTTATGTATCAGTTGTAATTGCAAGTTGGGATGTTTTGAGTTCTGTTTCATATCATATTTTCTTTTCTGTAATGACCAGTAATGTCAAAAGAAAGAAGGAACCATTTTTAGTGGACTCAGAATAAAAAACAATAATATTGAACTTCTTTGGCCTTTACTGTTATTTTAGAAAAGCAGATATAGTACTTTATTATTTCCAGAACTTAACCTGCCATTTTTGGATAAAATATTAAATATAAATATGATTAATAAATGTACAAACACTTTTTCCTTACTTATGAGCATTTTATAGTTTATAAATATTAATTAATCTAATACCTTCAATTTTTAATGTTTCAGTTTTGTCCTTGTGATTTCTGTTTTAGTCTGAAGTTATGCTTATTTAATATAAATGGCTTAACTTTTGGATTTCACATATAGTTCATTTTAATTGCAATTGATTTACTTTAGTTAGTGTAATTTTTAGCTACTTTCGTGATTTTTTAAAATTTATTAGAATGTATTTTTTCTATAGTATATTAGTTACAACACTGTGAGTGTAACAGTACCAGCAGAAGAATTTGTTTATAATTATTTCCATTTATTATGATTAAAATGTAAGAAAAGTTCACAAAATTTACATGTGGATGTGTATATATGTGGAATTTAAGTACAGTTCTATCCCCTGGCTTTGCTATTAGTTAGCAATAGTAATTTTTCAGCAATGATCAATAACACAGTAGAGTTAGTTACTGGATGTGCTTTTTTAAAGAAAAAATCATTATCCCAGTCTTTAAAATGTGTATAGATATCCTATATTTTTGAAGGATGTACTTTGAAATCTAGATTTCAAAGGTTCAGATTAATATAGATATTAAAATTTCAAAACTGATCTTGATGTTTCCTCATCGTATGATGGCAAATGAGTAAAGACATTAAAAATTTTATTTATATATTTATTTATCTATTTATAGTTCACTTGACCACTGAGCCACTATTTTGTATTTTATTTAGAGACAGGGTCTCACTGAGTTGCTTAGCACCTTGCTTTTGCTGAGGCTGGCTTTCAACTCCTGATCTTCCTACCTCAGCCTCCCAAGCCACGGGGATTACAGGCATGCACCACTGTGCCCAGCAAAAGTTATTTATTTATAGTAAGGCCATCTGCTTCTTCTTTTTCTGTTCTTTCTTTCTTTCTTTTTTTGATACCAGGGATTGCATCCAGGGGTTTTTAACCAGTGAGCCACATCTTCAGCTCTTTTTATTTTTTATTGAGACAGGGTCTCACTAAATTGCCGAGGCTGGCCTTGAACTTGTGATACTCCTGACTTGGCCTCCCAAGTTGCTGGGATTACAGGTGTGTGCCATCACGTGTGGCAGCCATTAGTTTCTTTTAGAATATAAGTTTCACTATGAAACACAGTATGCTTTTGGTCATTTATAAATTTGGTCATTTGCTCCATTTATAATTTGGTCATTTGCTCCATTTTAGAATAGCAGTTATGTTTTAATATAGTTTTTTTTGTTTTTAAGAAATTTTAACTATCAACAATACTGTTTATGAATTCTGATATTTGGCATTTATTTATTTAAAAACATTTTTTTGGTGGTGCTGGGGATTGAACTCGGGGCCTCCTGCTTGCCAGGCATGTGCTCTATTGCTGACTTATATCCCCAGCCCCATATTTGATATTTATAGAGACATTTTCCCCTGCATTTCAGTTGTCTTATCTTCTGTTTCTGTTGTTTTTATTTTTCCATACATTTCTGATTTAAATAAAGAGCAGAAATTATTTCTGCTGACAACAATGAAAACTAAATTTCTTTGAATTATGAATCAGCATGTTACTTACGTACTCTCTGTTAGGATACTGTATTTTAGCTGCCTTTAAGTTTGCAGAGTTCCCTTACAGGCATGAAAATGTAGTTTTCTCTGCAGAGCTGGCAAAAATAATAAATATTTGGGGGGAACTGATACCATTATACAG